CGAAGGAACAGCTGCAGAAGGACCACGAGGAGTTATACAGCAAGATGAGACACGCTGTTAGGGTGATGGTGGAGTCCAAGAGGAATCAGGAAGAACTGGAACAAAGACTAGAGCAACGAGGGCACACCATTCAGAAGCTACAGAGAAGCCAGGTAGTCGGGGAAACTTAAATTAATGAATACCCTTTTGTGCTTTAAGACAAATTTCAGTAACAACAAGTTTACACATTTTCACAGTGAATTAGGAATGACTAATGATCATTTTACTTGATAGCAGTATAGATTTGTTGTTTTAAGGATTATGGGAGACATTTTCCATCACATATTAGTAAAACACAAGATTCATGACCAGGATTTTCAGGTGAAAAGGAATGTTAAGCATAAAAAAACCAAGCATTGCCAGTAAACACACAGCTGAAGTAACAAATTATTAGATGATCAAAATCTAAAAAGACAAACAAATAATAGAAAGAAAAAAAATGTCAATGAACACTTTTTAAAAAAACTCTGCTTCAAAACCAAATGATTGAGACTCAATCTATAGTGAGTTGGTAGCGCAGCAGACTGTAACACAGCGGCGGCAAGGTTTGGAGTCGGCCATCACAGTAAATTCTTGTATTCGAATGGCTCACCCATTGTGTTTGCTTTGCAGGATATGTTCCAAGCCCATGGGAGCGGGCAAATGCTAGATTGAAAGAAGCAGTCCAACCTCTTAAAAAAGAAAGTTTATGACTATATTCCCTTAATATCAGTTATCAATCATTGAGATGGAGCGTATTTTAACACAAATATTCACCCTTTAAGAAGTGCAATGCCTTTGTTAAAAATTCAGTCTGGGAATATTTGAATTTTGGATAGTTTCCCACGGCGGCCACTAGGTAGCGAAGGTGCTACTATTGCGAGTAGCATGGCCAAGTCAGCTGGCTGAGTGAGAGAGAGAGAGAAAGAGTAGCGCGGCTGCCGCACGAGTGATCCTAGCGTCGGCTGTGCAAAGCTCATTTCGGCAGTAAAATTCCAGTCTGACTATTCTTCAAAAGCATTTCACTTCTTAAAGGGTTCATACTCATTGAATGGATTGTGATGCCTTGTGTAGCTTTGGTACTAAGATCTGCTGTTTCATTAGCCAGGACCATTAGCCCAACGATCAAGGCCAACTGTAGTTTAGATTTTTAAACCATAAAAAATCTATACACTTTTCTCAGGATCAAACCATCAAGTGTCCACCTTTTGATTACTAGGCATACATGACATAATGGTCCATACTGATATCAAACTTACAAAAGACATTAAAGAAAGGATAAAACAAGAAAGTTGGTCAGGCAAAATTGAAATTTGGGTAAACCATTGCCAGAGTCGTAGTTTTCCTTGATTTTTTCCTAAATCTTATTCCTACATATTTCAAAATTGTTTTCAGGATGAAACAGAAGACAGACTAGAGGAACTGAAGGATATATTGCATGAAATGAAGAAAACTATTGAACTGTTGTATCGAGACAGAGAGGATTTGGAGGATAAACTGTCCAACCACATGCACTGTCATGCGGAACGAGCAGTGCACCAGGAAGTATGTCACCCTTACAAATGACACAATCAAATGTTGCTTAGATGGTTTTGGTACAACAGTGTTTTGGAAATAAAAAATTCATATGTCAGTTGCTTTATTTGTTCAAACTTGGCCAAGGGCTTTATGAAGATGAAGTTTTTAGAAAAAGAATGTTAGTGATTCATTTGACTAAAATGTCTTTAAATTTCAATAGAAAAAACTATCACAGCAATATATACATATTTATTCAACAAAATGAAATTCAAAGGATTAATTTATTTAAAATATGTCTTACTAGATTGTTTTTATAACTTTAATAAACTCGTATATATCTTTTGTAATCAATCTTTTTGAACTGTTGATTTCAAAATAATTGTATTATAAAAATAGTTTATAGAAAATGTAAAAAAACTATGTTCATATCAGATAATTTATAAACTGTAAAACAGCAGAGACAAAAATAAATGTCTTAACTTTTGGATACTGCAATCAATTACAAAAATCAGTTCAGTTAATGGTTTTACTTAGCTCATAAAGGAATAAAACAACTTTTCTTGGTTTAGCTCAAGTCCCTGCAAAGAGACAAAGCTATTTCGGAAGAGCAGAATTCTCGTGAGAGGGAAATGCTTCTTCATCGTATTAAAGACAATGAGTCTATAATCAAAGATCAACACAAACACATTCGCTCTCTGCAGGTATCCAATCAATATTTTCAACTAGTATTTCTCAGGAAAATCAACATGCAAAGTAATGAATAGTATTAAGCAAAATAGTATGCACAATAAGCTTCAGATGACACACCAGCCCCAAAAAGCAAAATAGTATTAAATATTTCCTCATAAAATTGACTGAGCACTGTAGAGAGTTAATATTTGAAATCAATAATAAGGGGAAATTTCTCAGTCATCTTTGTATGATCATACAATTTGGTACTATGGGTTATAATTGTAAAGTAAAAAGTTTCAAAGAAAACTCACTCCCAACTTAGCAGTTCTCCATTATTTACACTTTGTATCTAGTTCATGTGTCATAATATATTGTGTTAGTACTTAGCAATGTGAAAAAAATACATAATGATTCAGTAAAAAATAGTAAAAACCAAAAACTTATACTGCTGAAGTGGGTGGTACTTTTCTGCAGCTGTAAAAAATTCAAAATAAATACATGATCACATGTTTATAACAAGTTGAAACTGTAATCGATTCTCTACAGATCATATTGTAATTACTCTAACCTCAATAGTTCAGACTTAGTAATTCTTTGACAATGTCACATGTTTTATGGCTATGCTATGTACGAACAAGTAAGGTTCTACTAGTTATTTTGAAGTCAAGCACTGTAGGATGTAGACCAAACCTAGTAGATTATGTAAGTGATGGATACAATGGTGTTTTAGGATCAACTGGATAATCTGACAGTACAATTACGAGAGACCAAAAGTGCATTGGTCACTGAGAGACATAACCACACACAGCAGCTGCTCAGCGTCCAGTCTGAGAAGTGAGATATAGATAAATGAAACATTTATTAAGATATTAAATATACCATATTATTACCATATGGTGTGTGGTGTGTGTATAACATTTAAAATATAAAGACGGTTCCTACTTGACAATTACATGTGAATTTCCCCATCAGTAAAGGAACTACTAACTGGTACTACTTATTATGGTTAACTAGCTTTTTGCTGAAAACACTGTTGTTGTTATATAAATAATATTTTACAACATATTTAACGTTAATTGTAAGGGAGTGTCCCAACTCCAAGTCTTACCTAATATCATTATTGACAGATGATAGCACCATTGATTGATAAATGGCCATAACTTTAAGATCGGTATAGTTTCTGCTGCTATACACTTCAACCTGCTATAGAACAAATTGCATGTTAGTAGTGTTAAGTTTAATCCTGTGTCACTAAAACCAATCATACTGACAAGAGGTCCCAGTCATGAAAAACTGATATTTATAGTGTTTCTATCCTTTTTCTAGAAAGAAACAAGAGCTTTACATCCAAGAGTTGGAGGCTAGACTAGCCTACGAGACTAGACTGCGGCTAAAGGGCTCCAACACTGTCCTATCCACATCTCACTATGTCAACACATCTGACAGGCAAGTTTAGATTACTAAAACACTCTGTTTACTTTAGAGTCACTTAATATAGATTATCATTCGGAATCATAGGTCCAATACAGATTAGAGACCAAGGTCAATACAAGCCACACCCACCAAGCTCAACCATTTTTTTGTGGTGGGGGGGATTTTTATTTTATTTTAGAGTTCCTAAATCCTATGTGTTTTTTTTCCAGCTATGATCCCCCTATCCGAGACTTCAATAAAAATCATCCTCACAGGAAATAGGACATGTTGAAAACACTTTGTGATTAAATCAAATAGTGTAAAAGTTAGGCCTAAATAAAAAAAACTAACATTGCCTCAACTATAATATTTGTGTATGCTCTTGAATTTAATTATTGGTTATCTTGTTGTTACAATATAAAAGAAAACGCCTTACAAAATTGTCTTTTTTCCAAATCGCTCTTTTTTTAATTGAGAATCATTCATTGAGGACGGAGGTTGATGCAGTTTGGAAGTAAAGTTAATATTCACTAAAAATCTCTCACTGGATCAACAATGATACTTTTCTAGTTTGAAAAATATTTATAGTTGTGTCACAAAAAACGAGAGGTTAGTTCAAATATAAGTAAATAAATTTGTAATATGGTTTTATTCAAAGGAACAATTAGTTATACAAAGTTAACAATATATCACAGATAACTTTATCTGAACCAGTAGAGCAAAATATATAAACAATCAACACTTTAAAATGATTAACAAAGGAAATTACTAATATGTGTAAATATATGAATGAAAATAGTTACAGACAAACAATCCCAAAAACAATCAAACTATATACCATTAATAGTGTTTAATAAATGAATTGATTTACTAAAATAACAACAAAAATCAATCAAAAAATAGCATTAACACTAAAAAGGCAACAAATTCAGTAAGCTACTATACGTATTACAAAAACTACCTCAGGTAAAATTTGTAGAAATGACTGTTAAAGCTTAAATAAAGTTGCAATTATTTGTATGAACAAGAAGAATAAGTTTAATAACCCAAATTACTTTAGTCCCAAGAAATAATAACATTTGAATTGAACCAAAGTTTTAATTTATCAAATTGTTTTGGTAACAAATTGGTTAGAAAATAACTTTAATAAGATTCAGATATGTTTTCAGTGAATAATTGGAAAATAGTTCTTTTGATAAATATTATTTTATAGCATAACTGTACAATCAAACAAGATGATAGTTACTTAATGAATATTTATAGTTAAGTCTTTGACTAGATTTAAGTGAACTACATATGAATAAAAAATACCTATTAATTTAACAATCAAATAAATATTCTTTTAAAGTTTAAATTACAATACTTTAGCCAGTCTCCAGTTTTACAAAACCAAACTATAAATGAGATTTGTGGAATTAAGTTGTTATACAAAACCATATTTCATAATTTTTTTTAACATTACAATACCACGAACTTAGCTAATAGTAATTTCATATTCTGTTTTTTATGGTAAAATTACTCAACCAAACAAAATACGCATATAGTATAGGAAGGTTTTAGGTTTAGGAAGTTAGGAATGTCATCAAGCCATTAATTTTTTACTGCCGGTAACTAAATAAGCTCACATAGTTCTTATACTTCTAGTTCTAAATGTATAATGTTTTGCAGTTTTTACGGTCTGTGTTCCATTTTTAATTATGAAGCTGTTTGAGATTATTATTTACTGGCTAATAATCTTCAAGGAAAAATGTATTCTTGTTTATTTATGTGACCACATTGGTAATTTATTTATTTTAAATACAACTCTCCATAATCCTCTCAAACATTACCAGTTTGTTTCTTTAATTACTAGTTCAAATATAAAACATTTTAACATTTTTAACCTTGATTTATTTTTTTATTTGTGGTAGATTTTATTTAAGGGGCTATTTTTGGACATACAGTAACTATTTTTGGCTAAATGGATAGCCCAAATATTAAAAGCAATGGCTGGTAAGAATATTAATAACCAGGTGAAATGATGTGTTGTTATGCCTATCTAATGGTAAAAGCAAGGCAAAAGTAACACCTCCATTTTTTAACAAATCAACTCTAAATCAATACAATTTTGTAGCTTAAAGTTAGTTGACAAATTGCTTCAAACACAATACCAAATTGAATCAAACCTAAAAGCTGAAAAGATATCCAGTTAAAATCTTAACGATGTCTCATGTATGAGGGCTATTCAGAAAGTAAGGAACATTTACTCTGAACAGAGTACAGACGTTTTCACCTCCTCAGTGACTGTGGAAATGTCTTTGTGTTACACTTTGTTGCAATATTACTGTGTTAAAAGTTTGCAGCAATTGAAAATCTCACTAGTTGTGAGGTGCAGTCATAACCTTAAAACCTATACACTTTTTTATTGTCAAGTCTGCGGAGTTGTACGGAAACAACTTGATAAATGAAAAGATATAGTGCTTTCAGTTTCAAAACGGCTATACTGAAGTTGATGTCCAACATTTTGTTTTTGCATTACAATGCCTGACCTCATGCGGAAAATTCCAATTGCACACAAAATCTTCAATCATTCAATTAGCAACTACCCTACAGTTCAGTTTATTTCCCAGAATTGACTTGGTAAGCAGCACAGCACTTTGTTAATGACAAGCAGCTCCAGTTGCATTTCACTAGGTGGCTCAGCTCGCAGGCAGCGGAATTCTACGACAATGAAATTTCAATGCTCATCCACCGCTATGATAAGTGCCTATTTAGAAAAGTAGTATTTTAGTTGCTCTTTCAAATGTAGGCATTATAATTATTTTTCTGAACAAACTTTTTATTTTATTCCAAAACCTTCCTTGCTTTCTTGATTGCCCTCATATCATAAAATAATGTTATATAATTAACTAAGATTAGGTTCTCTGTTTTGGGACTTTAAAGGGTGAAGTGTAAAAAAACTACTATGAGTCTACAGTTTACAAATGCTTGCCAATTATGTTAAGTGGATTTTCTATATTTAAAAATGACATAAAAGTGTGGGGCACATTGTATTCAAAGCTTTGGCAAAGCAAATGTCACATTTTAATACTGAGGAACAAATTTTCTGTTGATAGACATTTTAAACAAGATTACTTTGAACGTGTTTAGTAAATTAAAGAATCAGTGTTACAAGGTCATTGGCATCGATGCAATTGTGAAAAAAACATTAATTAAATCATTGCACTAAACTATGGTATATTAAACCTAAAATGCACAGCCACCTGGAATAAGAATAATCTTGGGGAGCCCACGGAGATAAACTAACGGGCATTCACAAAAAATATAGTACACAATAATCATCATCTAAATATACATAAATTATATAATACACAGTGGAAAGTATAATACATCAGTCAAAATATTGGTTCCTTGAAAAGGCACAGTTTTTAAACAGTGTGGATTTTTCACAAGAAATTTAAAAAAATTGAAAAAAAGAACAGAAACAAATTTACTGTAATTTTCAGCGCACATTGTGTTCTAATTATGAGCATAAATCATTTTGACATAAAAATATTTTTATAAGCTGAGCCTAAAATGTTCCGCCACTTATTTTGTGAACAAAGCACAGTGAAAAGGACATCTGAAACGAGACCTTGTACTTTTCTAATTGTTAAATCAAACCTTTCAATTGTACACAAAAATGTCAATCCATCCCAACACTGTTACAACGAATTTGGCCTAGTGCCTTTTCAAGTGCTATGAATCTGCGTATGTACTTTGGGACGTGACCTGTCGGATACTCTGGTAAGTGAAGGCATCCGTGGAGTCTCTGGATATGTTTGTCGGATACTTGGAAGGAGAGTTGATCTTGTTGATGATGCTTGCCAGACTCTCCTCCTGCAGCAGGATGTCATTGCTGGAACGCAAGCTGCGCTCAGAGTCAGAGCATATCGGCGCCGGGCCCTGCGCCATCCAGGAGTTGAGGAACTCACGCTGTCCGTCGTCTTCTGAACTGTGCGGTACCTGAAAATTAATTACCGTTATTTATTTTGTTTATTTATTTTACCCAATATCGAGTCACTGAACTCCCTTAGAGTACTCCATGATGTTGATAATAAAATGGTACCTGCCGGATTATTGGAGATAGAAACAACCATAGTTAAAGATAAATCGTATGAAAATTACAACATTTAATGTAGGGATGGACGGTATTAAATTTTTAGTTCGGGACGGGATTTTTATTTCCTTCCTAATTTTCGGGACGGGACGGGGCGGGATTTTTTCCTGTGTATAAAAAGAAAGTATTAAGTACCTATTGCAGTTACCAAACAAGACAAACAAAATCAAATTTTACCATTTGTGGCACTGATCTATAAAAACAATAAAAATGGGTAAAAATTTACAGGTATAGAAACTTGTGACTCGCGGTCAAAATGACACGGAGTCACGGTGCGATCGTCAAAATGATTCGTGGTCACGGCGGGATCATCGTTATGTTTTTATCGTAATATTTTTTCCCGAAAATTTCCAGAAATTTTGGGACCCCGTCCATCCCTAATTTCATTGTATTGTAACAGCCCTGGAAGTGGATATTCATAGTAACTAATTCTGATTTAAGATACCTGTCTACAGTTTCAAAGGTAAAAATCAAGGTTTAACAAGTGTTTATATTCGCACACAAAAACTTGTATTTACTATACTGAGGTGTTTGACAAGGCATCTTGCCAAAACATCCATGCAACATCTTGAATGCTACGTTGGCACTGCAGACAACATGTATTGAAAAATCCACATTACTGTAGTCAAAATTAATCCACAAACAACAATAAAACAGATTGTACTATAACAAATTTCTTAGACATAGAGATGACCAAATTAATATATTTTTATATACACTTTATATTTTTGAATTATCTAGATTAACAGATATTTTTACAAAGACGTTACATTGCACAATAATCTCTCATGTCCTATGTATTACAGCCACTCCTTGGTCTGATTACAGAATTTGTCAGCTAACGTTGGATTAGTGAGATTTGTTTACAATTATAGTAAGTTAAATTGTAAAACTATGAAAATCGCTTTTACAAAATATGAATAAACTACTTCTCAGACACTTTAAAAGATTGTTTTTTTAATTTGTATTTTACTAATAAGAAATGAGTTCAATGATTACAATGACAAAGTCCATAACCCTAAGTATTAAATTGATTAAGAGTCACAAAGTTGCAGTTTATCCTCAGATTTCTTCGATATAATTTTAAAATTGGGTACTGAAATTAACAATTCCATCAATTGGTTGATTATTAATCCTGTCTGAGCATCACTTGTCAAGGACCTACCAAGATCTCGTTGGGCTCTGAGCTGTTGTGTGTGATGCTCCGTTGCCGAGGCACTAGGCGTGGACTGCCGTGGTCCAGCCGGTCCAAGCCCTTGTCTAGGGAGTAGCAGAGAGGAGCCTGAGGCGGCCGCAAGCCTCTCACACCCTGCAGCTCAAGTGTAGAGCTGGACATTGTACGCTTGCCTGCCTCCAGTCCAGCCCTGTAACATCATCACCAGTCACCACTGTCATTCCCGTATGCTGTTTAGAGTTAATCTTTGTGCATCTTTTTTTATATTATCTTTAGACTTAGAGTGACCAAACTTTTAACACATACAGGTCAAATCTACTAGTTTCCTACAGAAGGATGTTAACCTATTTAGCTTGCATGCCTGAATTTAAAAAATCAATTGACTACTAAGGGTGTAACATAGAGCACAAGTGCCTAGGTATTTAGGATTTTATTTTAAAGGATAGCAGGCTTACCTGAATGGGAAAGAGTCCAAACTGGCAAAAGACACAGGATATATGCTTCCAGGGTATATGCCATCTAATATGGTTTTCTAGATTTCCTGCATTAAGTCAATTTAAACAATAAGAGATGATTTATAGGACTGTTCATACAAAGAACAACTCAAAATTTGCTGTTAATAGACTAATTATTTAGATTCCAAATCCCAAAACATCATAAACCTCCCTACAATAATTGGCGGACAGTGTTCACAATAATTCTTTAACGTAAAACAAACTGACCCGCTGAGGCTGGGCTTGAGGTTCAGTAGAGCCAGCAAGTTAGGCAGTGTACACCTGAGATCTGACGTGGTGAGGCTACAATACCATCTCAACTGTGCGATGTTCTTGTTGAGCAAATACACTCCGTAGTTGAACTGAAGCTTATCCTTGCCCTTAGAGAATAGAGGAAATCTGGAAACAAATTCAACACTGTAAAAGGATGTCTGTACAATGTTATATTGCTGATTATAGGTTAAATTCATGCTTTTAATATTGTTTCACATATTGTTGCAAGAGATTGCCGCAGGGTAAAATTATTGTAAAGAATGAGGCTATGAATATTCAGGTATAATAGTCAAAGTTATTAAAGTGTCTATTCAATCATGTCAATGCCTGATTTGATCTTAAAACACAACTTCATGTCATTAATATTGGATCCATAAGAGCCTGGAGGCATATTGTTGTAGCCCACAAAAAGAACAAGTGTCTTCATCTAAAAAAGAACCATGAATTTGATACAAAAAATGTAGGACTTTTTGCCTTGATTTGGTGGGAATTAAAACTTAGTTCCATAGCTTCTCTCTGCACAAAAATGTGTTGAACTATTAAAAAAAAGAGAATAAAGTGAATAATATAGGATGTAAAATAGGGATTTAAAGTTTAAAGCATTCAGTATGTTTTAGTTCCAGTGACTTTACTCCTAAAAATCAAGCACTTCTTCAAGGTAATTAATTATAGCTTAAAGGGTCGTGAATAGCCACAAAGACCAGTCTTATGAAGTGTTTGGTTTTGTATTTCAATTTCCAAACCTCAATTTACACACAATAAATTCAACTCCCTACCCAACTGAATGAACAAAAACTTCGGTGGATTAAAACTACCTTGGAATTTCAATCTTCACTAACTAGAAGAGCCTATTGTTTCGGCTGAGTTTGTGGGTATCCTATAGATATGAAGAGATAAAATGCAACTGGTACTCACTCTCTCTCCTTATCAGGTATCTTGTCAGTGATATGGTCGATGATCTTGCTGCGAGAGCCTGCGTGGACGATGGAGTAACGAAGAGGAACGTGCAAGAAATATGCAATCATCTGGACCAGGTGAGCGACAAAACCCAGCGCTACTGAGATCATAATCTCATCATGTCCAGCAAAGTCTTCTGAGTTGGGCAGATGGACTCCACAGATGGCAAACTTGTCGTCTCCAATCTGAAAAAAAAACATCAAATTAGATTAACAAGAGGCTTGGTATTACATTGAGTATAAAGCAATGAATACATCCAAATCTGGCTGTGTAACTGATAAAATTACAAGCACTAAATTATTTTTTTCATATCATAATCTAAACTATAAATTGTTACACACATATTTTTCAATGGATAATGAAAACTATTCTATTGATTTGAAATTTAGTGGATCCAGTATTTTATTGTTGGCTTATTTATATGCAAAACTTTCTCACAAAACCCTTAATATGTTGAAAAAGTCGCTCAGATTTTTTAAAATCAATAAACTTGGAAAACACTGAACAGAATTTTTTTCCCGATCTTTAAAGGCGTAAGAACTAATGGCACAGAATTTTGTAATACTCTTTACTTTAAACAAACACTTCATCTTACTGCAAATAATATACACCAACTGTTCAATTTAGGTGTTCAGGTAAGAAACACTACTTAATTCTATGACTAAATAAACAACTCACTTTTAAATAAATAATACTATAAAATATTATACATAGAGTTAAACTTAATAATAACGTATTTTAAAACTAATTTTAAAATATATATAATTTACAGACATATATTTATATGTTGAAAAAAACTATTACGATTAATATAGTCAGGTTAAGTAAAGAAATAAAGATTTTATATTTCATTTACATGTTAGCTTTTTCTTACCTGACTGATGGGGTATATATAATTTAACTCTGAAATGCGCTTTCGTCTCAGAGCTAACAGCATTTGGTTGACAGAAAACAGATTTTCTTTGGCATCTATAGAAACACGTTTAAGATCTTTCAGACGTTCCATTTCTTTGTGAAGCATCCGATTCTTTTCCACCAATTCTAAATCTGAAATAAAAAATATTAGTTAAAGATGATTATTGATAGCTACGTTAACTTGGGTACCGGTACTCAATATAGACATATTTTCAACCCTATTTATTTATTTTTTTGTTAACAGAATAGAGCAATGTATATGTTCAAGGTCCTTTAAGGTGGAGGATAATATAATTCATAATCATGATGATATTATTAAATACTAGCTGGCCCGACAGACGTCGTCCTGTCCTAATGTGGTTTTATGTCAAATGCTCGTTCATTTTCAAGATGAGCTCGTTCGCATGGCTCAATCACGTCCTGATTGAAGTTCGTTCGCTACGCTCACTCACCTTTAGGTTGGAGCTCGTTCGCTACGCTAGCCCACCTCCAGGTTGAAGTTCGTTTGCTACGCTCACTCACCTTTTGGTTGCAACTTAGCTGTTGTCATAAATTTAAAATAAATAATAATGCTGCACCCTGTTGGTAAACCTATTAAATTTTTAATGCTATTGAACATCACAGAATCAAATTGTTTAGTTGAACCAGCTGTTAAGATTCTTTAATTCCATTTAAATATGAGTACTCATAAGGTTAACATGGGTTCTCACAAACCATCCTTGAATAATGGTTAATAATACCTGAAAGTTTCATTACAATCTGTCGAGTGGTTTCGGAGTCCATAAAGGACAAACAAACAAACAAACATACAAAAAAACATACATTGGATTTTATATACCTAAATAGATCAAACATATTTTAAAAATAATAATAGGCAATTAAAATTTAAAATATCTATTATTTTATATCAATTCTAAATCTAACATCTTCTTTCAAGCTACCTACCTATGCTTTAATCAACCTTCCTAAGCAACAAACCAAATCGTCCCACTAGGTGACTTGCGACACCTCCAAAAAGCAGTTGTTGCTAATTTTAGAATCAAAATTGACATAGTTTAATTGAGCCACCGGCAGAATTCGCTAATCTAAATCACTGATTTCTGTTGAATACACCAACTTAACCTGATGGAACGACTTTTTGTAAGCTAAAGGCCTAACATCGTTTGTGCAACATCAACTATCTTAGTAATAAAAACTAGTAGTAGAGTCTTTCTATGTATCTTTTACAACCTAAAGAACCTGAAAGACTTTACTACCGATTTAGTACTGTAGCTCTGAAAATTCTGTGTTTATGTGTTTATTTGTGGTTTTCAACTATTTTCATCAGTAAGGTAAGCTTATCAATTACAAAATCCTTAAAACCCTGGCCTAAAGCTATCTTGACAAAAACGTCGTAACCTGGAGAAAAAAGAATGCAAGACTGTAGCACACTCTGTGCGTATGTCATTCAACAGATGGTCCATCCTGTATATGCCTTATAGATGGGATGTCTACTTCAGTATCCCAAAGTCAAAGTTTCAACATAACCAAGAAGAATTACATGACACTTGTGTTTACAATACCCTATCTTGGTAAGTTAAGACGTCCAAGCCTCACCTTCGTCCAACATTCGATCGGTAAGTTTACTCTTGTCCTCCAGCTGCCTGCGCAAGGCTGACTTCTTCTTATCCCTCTCATGAGTCAGCAGATGTACTCTGAACCTCACCTCCTCCACTTCTCGTTTCACAGCTGTCAGCTGTTGATGTAGTCGTGGTGTTGCACCTGTAGGCTTGGCACGATGTAACACCCGACGCAACATGGCGCTCTCCTACACACACACAGTTTAATGAGCCTAAATGAAGATGTGATAGAAAAACATTTTGACAAGATGGATAGAAAGTTTATGCAGTAAATATATATAGTGCTTGAAGATTAGGCTTTACTTCTGATAATGTATATTTTGACCCTAAAAATGTTCTTCCTCAAGAAAAACTGTATAAACCTTTGTACCAATGCCTGCTGACATACTCACATTCTGATATAACTGTACACAATTTTGTTTGAATATTATACCTATTTAATTATTTAAAAATGTTTTGCATATAATAAAACTAGTAGGCCTAATGACAGTCCATCTACTCTTTGTAATGTTTCAATGCATTTCTTTCTGTTACCAGTCAACATGTTTTTCCATTTGTCTGCAAACAGAAATAGTAAGCAATTAGTATTTAACAAGCTCAAGGTGTAGAACTTCCCCTTACATTTGTTTGACTCTAAGGGTGTAAAAAAATATGTAAGCTATTATTGTTTTTACCATTTACTTTTATTTTAGGTGGTTAAATAGATTTTTATATGTTGGTTCAACAAAACATATTAGTTTTTATCCATGCTGAAGCATGATAAGAAGTTTTTTCTTAAAATGTTAGATCTGCTAGGACACTATTTTTATGCATGCCTAATTTATTAAAAAAATAGGTCATTAAAACAGTGAAGTAAGCATCCAAACCTCAATCATATTGTATTGCATAGGAATTGCAAGAACAGTATTCTAATAGTGGTTATTGGCATTACAATAGAATAGTTACTGCAAAAGTAGTGAAGAGTGAATATGAAAAGGAATTATTTAGGCTACAGTACCTTTCCTTCACTGCTACTCCCACTCAAACTTCCGTCCGAGATCCTCTCTCTAAGGGAAGCAGCTGCAACTGAATGTTGCTTGATAGCTTGCTGGAGTGAATGCAGCCTGAACACACATTTAACAGGCAATTAAAAAAAAAATTCTTATATGGACTGCCTTGGAAAAAAGCCCAGCTTACAGTACCTAGCTTAGTCCAGGGGCTTAGATGTACTAGGTAGATGTAGTAGCAGGCAGTTTTTAATCGTCAGGAGCAAAACAAATCCATGGTGACAAAAATACAACTCTCTCTGCACTATAGGATTCTGTATGTACTGTCATTGTGTGGCTAGTTTTGATAAATTGGGCCTACACATACTGCTTAGTGCTTAGTTTTGTCAACTTCAAAACATAGTGTTTTATACTGTCCCAAATACAACCAAGTTTAGTTATATTTCACCTTAATCAAATGAAATTGGGCTTACATATACTGTGCAGTGCTTAGTTTTGTCAACTTCAAAACATAGTGTTTTTATACTGTCCCAAATACAACCAAGTTTAGTTATATTTCACCTTAAACAAATGAAATTGGGCTTACACATACTGTGCAGTGCTTAGTTTCGTCAACTTCAAAAGATAGTGTTTTTATACTGTCGCAAATACAACCTAGTTTAGTTATATTTTATCTTAATCAAATGAAATTTGGCTTACACATACTGTGCAGTGCTTAGTTTCGTCAACTTCAAAACATAGTGTTTTTATACTGTTGCAAATACAACCTAGTTTAGTTATATTTTATCTTAATCAAATGAAATTGGGCTTACACATACTGTGCAGTGCTTAGTTTCGTCAACTTCATAACATAGTGTTCTTATACTGTCCCATATACAACCTAGTATAGTTATATTTCATCTTAATCAAATGAAATTGGGCTTGCACATACTGCGTAGTGCTTAGTTTCGTCAACTTCAAAACATAGTGTTTTTATACTGTCCTAAATACAAGCTAGTTTAGTTATATTTCATCTTAATCAAATGAATTATCAACAAAACCACCATTTCGGTAATCCAACTTCCTCCCAGCCCCATATCTGTCAGATAATCGAGGGACAACTGTGCACAAAAACCCATACGGAAAACACGCAATTACTAATATTTTTTATTATTATTATCATTCTATTCAAAAATATTTAGATGTTACTATACATTTTTAAATCTTCACTATCTTACGAAATGAGGCTTCATGTTGTAATGGTAGGACGTTTTGGGGAAAATTTTAATTCATAAAAAATTTTAAAATTCATATTGTAAATGATTTTCAATCAATCAAACAATTGTAGAAGTATCAGTTACAGCAGTTGGTTGAGTAAAGTAGATTGCTGAGTGTAAGCAGTTTTGTGCTGCTTCTTGCATTCAGTAGGTTCAATACCCAACAAATTGCTGATTATGGCCTTACCCTCTCTCTTTGCAGCCAAATTGAAAGTACCATCGGTGGTAGACCTTTTTACCAATAATCCACTCTTCCTTAGGAACCAGCGCCGGCTGGCCAAGGTAAGGCCGTAATACTCTTTTAATATTTTTGGACTTAGAGCACAGATAGATTTGAAATACTAATAAAGACACTTAATACTTGTCATATTAAATTCATACTTTTAATAACACAGAGTTATTTGAAATAATATATATAAATTTATCAATTTCTATTGCCTCTTTGGTTGAATAGTTATTTTGAGAATAATAACATAAACAATTATTTTTGATTGAAAATCATATTTTGTCATTTAGTATTTGCCATTCATTGTTCTTGATATAATATCTATATTCTATTTTTCCCTTTATCTCTGTAATTATTAAAACTACTTGTGTTGAGAATATAATATAGAATTTTGTATAATCGAATCTCGAGTACCTTTCTTTGTGCTCACTGCCAAGCGAGCTCACCCCCCACAATATATTATATAATAATAAACATCATTTAAAAGAAGTAACACATAAACACCAACCGTTACAACTGGTCGGGGCTGCCAGGATTGAGTTTTTACTCAATAATTAATTGTTTGATTTATTGTTAATTGTACTTGTGACTTTTATTTATCATTGGACTTAATTAATATAATTATATAAAAAAAAAAACTTGTTGAATTGTAATTAGATAGATTGTGTTTAAATAGAACAGTTTTTGTATTTTGAACCTATCTGTGTAACAGGGCTTTATAGGAATTAATTAGACCTATGTTTAAGATTGTTTTAGGTGGATGAATAGAGATTTGTTTATATATGTTTAGGTAGCATGTGTGTACCAATTAGATGGATAAGATTTCATTCAGTGAATTAAGGTCGTTAAATAAAGAAGGAGTGATAGAGATATATAAAAAATTAGATATTCCAGTTCCACCTGAGGCTGATTTAGAATATCTTAGGTCTTATTTAAGGCTAGTTAAAATTAATTTATATAAGGGTGAACCCTTTACTCAGAGTGCTCCGAGACAATTAGATAGTCCTTATGAAGAAGTAGCTATATACAAAAACCAAGACATTATCGCACATGAATTCATTAAAAACTATTCTACTGAGAACATTTATGAGGAAGTAGCTGAACCAGCTACTTATGCGGATATAGGTTTAACAGTACAGCGAGCCTATCAACCGTGTCCGGGAAACGTAGTTATGGCAGAGAAAATACCGTGTTTTACCCCCCAGACATTTGGCGGTAAGCCGACTGAAAATGTAAAAAGCTTTTTGGCGCATTATGAGCGAGTTTCACTAGCTAACGCTTGGAATGATGAACGGAAATTACAATTGTTAAGTTTTTACCTAAGCGACACGGCGCAATTGGTTTATGAGAACCTTGAACGTGAACATGGGGAGAATTTAACATGGGCCGTAGCTAAGCAACACCTTTTGAATACCTTTGCGTTAGAGGCGAACACCGAACTTTTGGAGATGCAGTTGAACACCCGAGTTCAGATGCTAGGGGAGAGTACTGTTCAGTACATGTCAGACATTATTCGGCTGTGCTCTCTGATAGATAATAAAATGTCAGAGTCAAGAGTTTGTGGTCACATCTTAAAGGGGTTAAACCCTGCAATTCTTCAACAGATTGCCATGTGGGACAACTCTACTAGGGATAAGTTATTTGCTAACGTGACAAAGTATGAGACCTCTGCCTTACTTTTGCGCCACAGGCTAGGTGTCGAGTTGCCCACGACACAAACACATAAACCGGTAGATGAACTAAATTCAAAAATAGAGTTTCTGACAAAAACAGTTAACCAGTTGAAATTAGATCATAATCGTTCTCGCAATAGATCACACTCTAGGAGCTCAGACTATAACAGGGACTTCTCAAGAGATAGGGATGGCGGTAGTTATCATCGAGACTATCGTAGAAGGGACCGCAGCTCATCATACGGACGGAATTATGACAGGACTGACCGTCGACCTCGCTCCAGGGATCGGTATAGAAGTCGGTACGATTCACGTGATGCTACTCCTAACCGAGTTAAATTTCTTGACACGAATCGTGATTCTAAATTTAAAAATTCAAATTTCCGTGACTCAAAAGATGAGAAGAGAAGTTTCTCTCCTCATCCTAAAAGATATAACGAAACAAAACCTTCACAACCTTGCAGACATTGCGGTAAAATGCATTGGTCTGAAGATTGCTGGTACAAGTCCACAAATCGAGATAAGCCAAGGAGTTACAATCTTAACTTTGCTGACGAAAATTCTTGGGATTTTGAGGTTAACATGGTCAACACCATGAATGTTGCTACATTTCCCCCCAGTGAGGAAACCCAAAAGTTGTATCAAAATAATGTAATAGAGTTTTTCAAAAATTTACATCGTAAAAACGTTGAGTCATCAGAACCACAAGTTACATTCAATACACATTTGTGCGACACGGGCAAAGTAATTGAACACGAGACTAGCGTCAGCAAACTTGACCATTCAGGTGTTCCTGACTTAGCATTTGAGTCACACATTTTATTTCCCTATCAGACCAGAATTGTAACTAATCTAGCCACCAATGACATTTCTCCTTTAAACACAAAAGGAATCGTGGAATCTAAGGAAATTAACATATTGCTCGATTCAGGTGCTAATGTATCGTGTGTCAACAGCGAGCTTTTAAGAGATAAGCAATGGGAAAAAACGAATGTGCATCTATCTTCAGCGAGTAGAACTCCTTTAACTGTCCTCGGGAAAACTACTCTAACATTTCACATAGCCTTAATAGAATTCACTCAAGAAGTGTATGTAATTAAAAACCTGAATTGTTCAATGATCTTGGGAAATGATTTTCTTAAACATTATGGGGTGATACTAAATTACCAAGACGGTACCATAACTTTATCACGTGCTGGGGACAAAACAAAAATTCCCATGCAGGTTAACAAAGTAGGTAAAACTCGTATATCTCAACAAGATGCAACATCAAGTACTAGTGGAAAGACTTTTTCTTCGGATGAATTAAAAGTTAGGGCAATGACTTTAAAAACAAAACCTCCATGTAGTATACAGGACTTGTCAAACGGGATCTCCCCCCTAAATTCAGCAGGGGAAACAAACGCTAGTTTAAGGGAGGTCTTGGACCAAGCTGAAAACAAAATAGATATCAACCCCAAGCTGCCTCAGGCAAAATGGAAGACGGCTAAAGATCTTTTGTATGGTTATAGGGATGTTTTTGTAAAAGATTATACTGATTTAGGGACCGCAAAAGTGCCTCCTTATAAAATTAAACTTGAAACACACGAACCTATATCTTTGCCACCATTCAAATTGGGACCTCAAGAACGTGATGAGTCAAACAGGCAGATTGACGCTCTAAGAACTGCAGGTGTAGTGGAAAAATTGCAAACACCATTTTGCCATCAGCATTATCACCATAATGGTAAGACTCATCACAGCCGCGAGTTTAAACCGGGCGATAAGGTTCTGATTTCAGCACCTTTTACAGCTAAGCAAGGAACGCGAAAACTGGCCTCAGCCTTCAAAGGTCCATTTGAAGTAACGCGAAAGGTTTCTGACCTGTGTTATGAAGTGGCGTTGCTAAAGGGTGGACAATGGACTAAAGACGTAATTAACATTAGTCGACTGAAACCTTATCATGACAGAGCATAAGCTGCTAATCACAAGACGAGTTAGATTATGTTGTATAGTAAATAGAGTGCTTGTATATAGTATAGCTTTTAAAAGTTAAAATGATTGAACAGTATGATAATTTTTCCCCAAATTTCTTTTATATATATATTGTTGCTCAGAAGTCTACATACTGTAATGCTGAAGTGTCGCTCGTTCAATCCTGGTATTCTGAACTAAGTAGGGGTATTCAGAATTGAATGAGAAAGGCTCTCGTATAGCACCCTAGGAATGGTAAGCAGAAGGCTTATTCGTCGGGATACATACCTGAGCAACATACTTTTAATCCCATTACTAGTATTAATTAGATTAGTTTTAGCTGTTGTAAATAAATGAATTGTGTAACTGTAGTGTATAGCTTGTATAAATATATAATTTCCATTTTATGTTTTTGTTAAATAAAAAAAAAGAAAACTTCATGATCATTTTTTAATTTAGTCATGTTAATATAAATTGTATAGTATGTGTATATAACAGTTTAATAACAGATTCTGTTAACTTAATGAACTAATTTTATTGAAGATCTAAACAGAAAGCCGATCTGTGAAATAAAAAAAAATAAAAAAAAGAATAATCATTAATCTAAATCATAATCATAATCTAATTGAGTATATTTCTTTGTTTTTTTTTAGTTTGTTCAAGTTAAATATTGAGTTTAAAATTTGTGTGTACGGTTTTGTTAGTTGTAAGGGCATTGTATAAATATGTATATGATAATTGATAATTTTTTTTTGACAGAATATAAAGCATTTTGTTTCTAAACGACGTTAAGAATATTTGTTTATAATACTTTCTTAAGTTTAAAAGGTGGAACTGGGTTGTTACATTTTAGTTGTGGGATACTATTTTTTGGGATAGTCATATTGAAAGTATATGTAAGATTTTAAACTTTATTCTAGATATAAGATGTCATAATAGTTCATTCATTTTTGTAAATCTTAAAGAGGCAACAGATTATTTTTCCCCCTTTTAAACAATACAAAAACGGCCTTACCTATTTTTTTTTTGTAATACCTGATTTCTCACGATAAAATTAATTCAGAAAATTGTTATATATATAGTACACTAATTCAGTTGTATTCTCTGTTGCATGCAAATACCACCGTCACCAGACCGCTTGGAGGCCTACCCAGCTGACACACGACCCAAATGCTGATTCTCTGCAAGGTGTCAGCTTTTTCATTCAACTTCCTCACTACATCAGGTTGTTGACACGACCTTGTGAAGAATCCAGGACAGTGGCACTTAATTCAAGCTAATGGACTTTTTCGGACAATTCATCCTTTGTGAAAAATGGTGACATTTTTTATTTATATTTTGTTAAACTCAGCTATTAGACACATATATTTGTATTCCTCTCAGATAAAAATGTTATAATTTTGGTAACTTTTAAAAGTTTTTGCAATTTTGTATTTATATATGTAGACATGGGGACCATGTCTCCCGAAGGAGGGGGCATGTAATGGTAGGACGTTTTGGGGAAAATTTTAATTCATAAAAAATTTTAAAATTCATATTGTAAATGATTTTCAATCAATCAAACAATTGTAGAAGTATCAGTTACAGCAGTTGGTTGAGTAAAGTAGATTGCTGAGTGTAAGCAGTTTTGTGCTGCTTCTTGCATTCAGTAGGTTCAATACCCAACAAATTGCTGATTATGGCCTTACCCTCTCTCTTTGCAGCCAAATTGAAAGTACCATCGGTGGTAGACCTTTTTACCAATAATCCACTCTTCCTTAGGAACCAGCGCCGGCTGGCCAAGGTAAGGCCGTTATACTCTTTTAATATTTTTGGACTTAGAGCACAGATAGATTTGAAATACTAATAAAGACACTTAATACTTGTCATATTAAATTCATACTTTTAATAACACAGAGTTATTTGAAATAATATATATAAATTTATCAATTTCTATTGCCTCTTTGGTTGAATAGTTATTTTGAGAATAATAACATAAACAATTATTTTTGATTGAAAATCATATTTTGTCATTTAGTATTTGCCATTCATTGTTCTTGATATAATATCTATATTCTATTTTTCCCTTTATCTCTGTAATTATTAAAACTACTTGTGTTGAGAATATAATATAGAATTTTGTATAATCGAATCTCGAGTACCTTTCTTTGTGCTCACTGCCAAGCGAGCTCACCCCCCACAATATATTATATAATAATAAACATCATTTAAAAGAAGTAACACATAAACACCAACCGTTACAATGTGAACAGTTGTTTCATGTTAGCAACTTTTCTCCTCTACCACGCAATAGCCTACATAAACACCTGTGAAATTCCAGTAATAAAAATCATAAAAATTAATAGGCCTAATTGACCAACCAAGACAAAAACACTATATAAAAATACAACATTTTCCCCAAGGTTGAGTGAATCTCGACAATACTACTTTGATTACTAAATTCTCTTCACCTCAACAGTCGGCTGACCGAGTAGCTCTGACGTAACTCTACGGGGGTCATGAGCACTGAGACTACGCGTCGAGGCTCGACTCTGGGCTCCTTGAAGCAGTGAGGTGCTGTGAAGTATCCACCCTGCATGTGCAATATGAGCGTGTTGCTGTGGAACTGTGACGGGTCCGAGGTGACAAGTCTTGGACCGATGTACGCCAAGCCGCTGAAGTAGATGCCCCATACAGCCACTACCAGCTCCGTACTCTCCTCCCCAGTCACTGAGTGGCACCACAGCCTGATCACCACCCCTGGCAAACACATCAATAAATGAGCTCAACCCCGCCGCAGCAAACCTGCCAGCTAAACGAATTCCCATTTGTTTGATTGTATATTAGGTACGTTTCAGATTTATTCCCTTTCTAAAAAAGAATTAGATTACGAGTACTTTTTGCAACATGGAAGGTAATAAAAGTGTATGTATCAGTAAAATGTGAAATAGCTTAGTATGAAAAACAAATTTTATGACTTTTAAAAGAATATGAAGCCATGAGATTTAAATTTAGTTTTACTGTATTTCTTAATGTTCTTCAAAGCTAATAGGCCTAATAAGCTTCAACATAGTGGCACTTGTCTTGTCAGTATTTAAAAACTCTAGGCCTACTGTAAAAAAATGCTTTAAAGAAAGAGATTCCAAAATATGTTTTGAGGGTAAAAGCACAAATCTTATTATGTGTTGGCTACAAAAAATAATATTCAAAAATGTGTTTATGTCAAATTTTAAAAGCCTGCAATAAAGTAATGAAATTGCATAGTCAAGGCTGGTGCAAGGCGTTTTCCACAAACATGCGAGAGTCATTCTAAGACCTAATTGATAACAAAATAAGACACACAAAAACAATTTACAATAGTGAATAGAGATGGATAATTGTAGAGAAATAAATATTTTTTAAATCCTAATTTGTTTAGCCGGTACAGAAGTTTCTAACTCACCTGTGGCAGGACCAATTGCCTGGCTGATCTCAATATCCGCCCATTTAGGATTATCACTTTCAAGTTTTTCACTTGTATAAAATGGAGCTGACATTGTTGTCAGATGTAATGTGTAATAGTAGCTCAATTTACCCACTCCTCTTACTAAATGAGTGCATTTCTCAAAGGGATTGACATTGAATCCAATTATTTGTATTAGGTTGCGAAGACGTTGCTGAAACAAAGAAAAATAAGATAGGTTACCAATTATAATTCTTAAATGTATGTAGGCTTATACAGCTCATTTAGGCTATTTTGTACTACTTAAGATTCAGTTCTAAAAATAAAAACTAGGCTTGAAAAAACTAGGTAGGCTACCAGTATTATTGTTTTTAGTTAGCCTAAGTAGGCCTGCCATTGATGGCCATAAACGTTGTGAAGTCCTTCCCCATCACTACCTCAGTAAAAAAGCATTTGTTTTAAGTTCTGTATTAATAAGGTATTTTTATAGGTACATAGGTACTTTAATACTTTTATACTTTAATACTTTTCTTTGAAATGGCGACCATACAAATGTAGGTATTTTAAGCCAAGTATGAATGGAGATGAGTATGGGATGAGTGGCGATTACGCTTGTGAACTTAGCCTAACACTTATCTTTGTGAAACACTCTGTATAAGAATAAACTTACTTCCTTAAGTCTACATCAGTGTAGGCTAACTTTAGTTAGGTGAAGTTGACAATGGTTTGGTTCAGATGGTAGCATATTTTAAATTGAACAAAACTACATTGACAGCCACTAACACTTGGAGGAAAGGATGGTACAAAGAGACCACACTGTTGCCAGTGCCATTCAACATAAAGACCTGAAGAGTAAGGCTTTGGTTTCCTAGACACGTAATAGATGCGCTATGGCTTTTATCCAGGTCTCAAAATGCAACCGCCGTCAGTGGTTTCCTAGACTGCCCATACATATGGTTGGTGCGTAACATAAGTTCACGGGAGAGATTACTAGCGGCTGCTATAATTTTATACGATGATTTAGATAATGGCATGGATATTTGGCTATTACAAGCATCGAAGAAGCGTAGGCAGTGAAAAGTAGATTATTATGAACTGTATGTGGCCCTAACGGATATGTTACCTTAGTATTAAAGCAAACATTAAAAAATTTTAAATGTAAACAATAAATCTTAATTTACTCCCTCCAACTTTGCTTTCACTGTTATTATAGTTACTTGCTCGGGATTTACCGAGTCGATGAAAATACCTTTTACAACATAACATACTAGCAGAGTACCCGTCCTTCATACGGGATTGGCGTATAGGACTAGGGTAAGTATAAAATCCTTATTGCAGTTTTTAAGTCCGTGAGGATCACGCACACAAAATTGATGACGCCTCTGCTTAAGCACCGTGCCAAGCTTAAGTGCAAGTTTAGGTGGAAATGCATGTGATAATGTTTTTTTTTTAATTTTTGGGAGAGGGGGCCCGGCGAACAAACTTGCAGAGAGGCCCATTGGCCTGCTCTTACCGCCGCCACTGTTACAGTTGATATGTAACTTATGGTAATTCACTTGTAAAATTGGTGTTAAAATCTGTTGGCAATAAATAAAAAAATAGTACCTAATGTGTATTCTAGAAAGTTGTTCTTATCAAAACTTCAAGCCTAGGGCCTAAGATAGCCTCTAAGTGTTTAGGAAAGAATAAAGGTTAAGTTACAGTGATCCTACAGATCACAGGAAAGAGGTGCTAATATAAAACAGCAGCATAAACCTGCTGGTTGGGCCTACTGTAGGCTAAAATTACCTAAGCTAACCAATTAATAGCAAAAGCTATGTAGGTACTAAGAGAATTTGCAGGAATTTCGGTTTTTCGTTCATGAGATCTTGTCTAACTTTTAAAAACCTACGGTACAAATATTTTTTTTTAAATCTCCATCACCAATCTTCAACAGCAAAAAATAGAATGGACAGTGGATATCTTCTGTCTGTCACCCATGAACAGATAGAACAGATTCTATCAGGCATGAAGGATTTGAACAGTTTCTGACCAAACGGATAGGCTAGCATTCTGTTCAAGGCTGATGTTAACGAATTCGATACCTATAATATATGATAGCCCAGGCCTAGTATCACAAAACTATTTACCAGACCATACGCACACATCATGATCACCTCTACAGGTACTAGATTAAAAACAAATAGGAACTTATCGCTAATGATAGAACAATTATTTTCAAACCTGTTGTGTGAGTAAAGGAAGCCACTCTTTCCATCTCAGTGTTGCCCTTGGAGATACAATGGACATTATTTCAAAATGAAATAGGCCTAATTCTGTCCTAACTACAATATTGGCTTTCCCCTTTGGTAGATATCCAGCTGAGCATTGGTAGTACTTTGAAGACCTTGATAGTTAACAGTCTAAATTTGTGTTAGTTAGATTTTAGTTTCACCATAGACTAACCAACGTAATGTTTCACTGGTTTGGAGTTGGTTCTTAGTCATTAAACTTAAGAAACAGCATTATTTAGGCTGTTACATTGTAAATGAATATGGCTTTTCAATCATAACACAAGCACAAAATGCAACAAGTTGTTGGCACTTGCTAGTAAGTTTAGTACATTTTGATGTTTAGAACCCAGACCCACTCACTAGCACAGCACAATAGTCTAAAAAATTATTGTCTTTTCTGTTAAGCCTTCGTAGTTGGCTGGTAGGCCTAGCCTTCATCGGATGACTAAAATATAAACGTAAAAACATTCATCACTTCAGGGGAAATTCTACTACCGTAGGCCCTATATAGTATTATTTGTATGGTCAATACAAATAAGATATCAACACTTAACACTTCTTCATCATCTAAATACGTATTTTTAACAAAGTTTTTGGGATGGTAAGGTTACGTACGAAGGAAACTACAAAATATGACAATAGACGATACGATACACTATGACATCTGACATGACATTGACGACAATTGACAATTCACACATTATTAGAAAAGAAAAAGAAAGTTCTTTACGAAAAAACTCAATTTCATAGAGTAAGCAAATACTCATAACTATTTTATTTCTCAGAATATTCTAGAGATCGGAAAATGATCGTTGATTAAGAACAGAACACAACATTTATTTATTTATTTACGGTATACTTAGTTATTTTTAGTGTACATTTATTTTGTGATACGGGCATTGATTATTGTATAATTGCAGTTTTTTTATCAATGATAAGGATCTTCCACCGTGCAATGTTTCGATAATAATCAAGGCAAAACTGTGGATATTCTCTATCCTGAAAAGTTAACATTTTGTCAAACTTCTAATTTAATTTGCTATACGAAAAGAGAGAACATCGTTGATGAATTATGATCCCAAAAACAGCAACGATGTAATGTGACAAAAGTTTATCGGATACACTCGGGAAGTAACTGTAAGCAAACAAAATTAAACTTTGCCAAACTTTTCAGTCGCTTATATTCCAATTAGTATTTATATAACAGCTAAAGAATATTATTTCAAAAATTTTAGATTTACAGTTGCTCATTTTTTAACAAATCCAAGATAATCCGGTTCTACTGAATTGCGAGCATCGTAAAAAACTCAGTGAGAGCTTAAGTTCAGTCATAGATTATTAGGTGTTTGTTAGTCTATGGTTCAGGGTTTCCCAACCTGTGGACGATTTTAGGAATCGGGTTGCTATAATTTTACACCTTATACTTATCTTAACAACTATAATCAAGAGTGCTAGTAAAGGTCTTATACAAATCCGCAGTGTAGAAATTGTTTAATTTTTGTGTTACTGAACCGTTAATTTTTGATTTCCAAGTCATGGTTACATGAACCGTTGCCGTTTAAATTATCCTGGCTCAGAGTTGTAAGTTAATGGGATAGGCTCTGGCACACGTTTTGATGCAACAGTTGTGAGCGTCCGAGCTTTTTCATCTGCTTTTTTGAAGCTCGGGCGCTCACAACTGATGCATTAAAACATGAGCCAGAGCCTGTCCTATACAACCATCTGAGCCAGGAAAATTTAAACGGCAAGGTTCATAAAACCATTCTGGAAATAAAAGATTAACGATTCAGTAACACAAAATTAAACAACTTCAATATGGATTTGTATAGGACCTTTACCTGGGCATATAGAATTAATATATGACATTGATAGAATAATACAAGAAATTTTCAAATTAACACAAAATGCTCCAATTTTCAAATAGCTCTGGAGCCTTGACGGTTCATCGGAGATTAACACCTAAGGTGCACACTTTGTAGCAAATTTTTTGTACTTTTAATTTTAATAATATATACTATTTACAAAAAGTTTATTGTTCCTGAGTTATAAGGCGAAAATTGCAAAAAAATACAATTTTCCACATTTTTGTCAATGTTGCGTCAGGAATTTTTGTTAGCAAACTTAAGATTTGGACTCTGCACCCCAAAAAACATACACAATGGACAAAATCAAAACTACCCTACAACTTTCCTGGTATAAGCACTAATTAACTGAATTAAATTAAAATTGTTTAAAGTTATGATTATGTTTTTAATTTAATAAATAATTTGTGGTATTGTGCAAATAGGGCGATTTTATATTTTAATTTATGGACTTTATTTTTGTCCAAAATGTTTATAAAAAAGTATTGTGTTTGATTCCCCCAAAGAAATTTCCAGGAAACAGATTACCATGTTAATAATTCTAGTATTTATGATCGAGTCAATGATTTGGATGGAAGGAACTAATATTATGATATGAATGTTTACTGTATGTCAATAACGTGAAAACTATTTTATCAATATTGAGCTGATTTTTTCCATGGGTAGAGCCGATATAACCACAGCTTAAATGTCATAGTCTTTTATTTTAATACTCTACTAGGGATCTACTCTGACAACTTACAATGTTGTTCTGCAAAGTAACCATTTCAAAATTCCCCCCAAACCGGTGCGGTACAGTAATGAATACTGTAGTTATATTAATGTACTTATGAAGTCAAGCAGGGCAAAGCCCGCGGGTAAAAGTGAGTTCCTAATATTAGTTTAAAAGGTTCTTTATTGAATTGTGAGTTGGAAAAGTAAAAGCTTGTGTTGAAAAGAACTATAGCTCTCTGACTGGCTATAACTAATGGCGGTTCCGCGCTGCGAGCGCTCTTGCGCCCGACGCCGCCTCCCGTTTTTGGACTGATTCTGTCAACTGGCTGCAATTAAAATACGTAAAACCCATATCATTTTAAAGATTGAGAAATACGCCAACTTTTTATATAAAACTTTTTTCACTATCTCGTCTCATTTCAATACAAATCAACTTTACACTTGAAGGTTGAAATTTAAAAGTGAACAAATTGACATTTAATCTTAAATTACAAGAAAACTAGTGAATATATCGATTACACTCTCAGGAAATTTTTTGTAGAGAATATTTTTAGGATTGAAATGGCGAAACAAAATTTATTCTATAGCTGTTTGTTTCTGAGATATTGATAAAATAATAAAAGCTTACACAAATTGACTTAAAAGGGTGTAGGGGGGGAAGCAAGAGGGGGAGGGGCGGGGACTTTTTAGAAAATGTTCCTCATATGATCTACTAACATCCATGAAAAATCAGCCTTTCACTAATTACTTCCGACAAAGCACTATTTTGTCCCTTTATTGACTGGGCTAAGTAGTACCATTTACTTTATACGCAATAAACCCCCATTTGAATAAGCTGGCGGCAAACAGCTGTTTTCTGGGCTAAATCCATGCGTGGGAAGTTCGTCAAAATAATGTAGTGTGGCCGTGTGGCGTAGCTATTTACATTACAAGTGTAGTGTAGTAAGAGCGGTTTTACATCACGCAGGTGAATGTTGTGCAACGAGCAGAAGCGAGTTGCATAATTCACATAAGAGATGTAAACACGCTCTTGCGCAACGTGTAACGTACAAGATTTTACCTGACCCGACAATATACATGGGTACAATATTTTTCATTATCCATTTCACTCATTGTCTAACAGTAACGTTCTTTTACAAACAAAAGCTAGGTTAGGAAAATACTTAAAAGCATAACAATAACATTCAAGCGCATAGCTGATTTCTAGCGTTGAACGTCGATGCCTCCATATAGGTATATTTTTTTAAGTTAAGCACTCAATGTTATTTAAATGGGTTTCATTACATCACCGAGTGAGTTTTTTTCAACTTTACATCACTCGAGAAGTAAGGAAGTTGTATACATCACGCTTGGGATAGGGAAGTTTAACATTGCGGGTTAGGTAAAACTATTTAACTACTCTGCCAATTTAATTTCACCTGTAAGCACCTCAACTCTTCCCAGAGGAGTATGTAGTAATATTTTTAGAGTTTGACTTTGAGTAACAATATATTTATTGGGAGTACAAAGACTATCTTAAATAACACAGTAAATTAAACTCCTTTTATAATACTTAAAAGATATATTTACAAATACAAAGTAGGTATGTACATAAATGGTACGTATATGTAAAAGGTAATAAATTTAAATTGGAAATTCCAACAATCCACACAAACAGGTCAAATGTATTTAAAGAGAGCTAATTATGGTAAAAGAACACATTTATTTTAAAGCATTTCTTTGATTCCAGAATTGAAAAGTTTATAATACAACAAATTTTAATACTAAATGCAGTTTTGTGTTTGTCTATGACAAGTTAAAGCAAATAACATTTTTAAATTTTATACAATACAAATAAATAGAATATATAGTAGTACAGTCAATAACAGGTTGCAGTTAATATTTCCAAATGCTTAGATTCCTTGAAAGTGTTTTGCCCTTGAAATATATATACATTCATACTTTATATAATGTATTCACAAAGACTTTTTACACACATTTCAAAATTCTTCCAAGTGCCATCCCTGCCCCTTTCCCTCATATTTTGGAGGAAAATTAATGTCACATCTAATAAAATTGACATTCCAATTTAAATTACTAAAATAAAGTTTACAAATTAGTATACTAAAATCAATAGAACAACTAACTAAAACCAATATAAGAGTACTGTAATAGTATCAGCAATCTGACACATTTCTCCCATTTAGCTAGTCAACAACCCTTATCATGGGCAAGTGGTAAGAGAAAATATGGTATTTTAGTGGTAAAATCACAAAAGTTGCAATATAACTTTGAACCACAATTTTTTCAGCAATGCGGGTTGCACGGTTTTGTTCAGAGTTGAAAGGACTATAACATACTAAGTTTTAATCAAAATACTTCAGGCATTTTTAAAAAATATTCAATTTCTTCCGGATTGTTATGGGTTTTTACAAAAAAATAATCACATAAAATGTTCAATAAAATGAAAAACGCCTAGATACTATGGTTTAGTACCATTGACTACACACAAAATACTTTCCATGTAATGTAAAAATTTGAAGCCAAAAACCGTGGTGCAATGAACTTCATATGCCCCCAGTACACTCTCGCCGAGACGCTTGCCGAGGCGCCTCGCCGAGGCACTCCTCGAGTAATTCGGGCGAGAGCTTATGCGAGGTAACCGTGTACACTCTCGCATTTTCTCGCAGTCGAAATGGAACAAACTTCGATGTGGAAGTAGCGCTCGCCACTCGTGCAGTCTCGGGTCCTTCGACTCGTGTCAAAAAACCGACTCCAGATGGAGCGCCGGCGAGCACGAGGCAAGGCGAGGCGAGGCGACCCGAGTCAAGGCGAGAGAAGACGAGCGAACCGTGTACACTCTCGCACTCGCCAACGCTCGCCTTGCCTCGGCGAGAGTGTACTGGGGGCATTAGATGTTTGCCATGCAGCACAGGGGGGGGGGCACATTAGGCAATTGTAATCAGTGTAATTACAATTTGAAACATTTTTTCTTTCCAATAGTGTAAAACAATGGTAAAACTTATTTTTTTCTAGTTTATACTTTTTCAGAAAGAAAGTCCCAGAACTGGGTCCATATTGTTGAATAGCCCTGTCCAGTATTTTGATTCCACAATTAATTGCTGTCTAGTTAAAACAGTGATTCAAAACGCTTGTTATGGTTCCCATTTAGCCTATAAATCTATATATATTTTTGCAATGCTAATAAAAACATTTATTTGACATAAGCACACATTTCCAGCATAAATCAAACCAGCATGAAAACCAGTAACTATTTTCAGGCAATGGTAAAGGTAAACAATGTTTTCTAATAGCCTTGTGGTAACTTTGGATAAATATTGGCTTGAGAGTTTGCTTATACAAGTTAAAATAGTTGATTTACATTTTTGTTCTAGTTCCAATTTTCGATTAAATCAAGAAAATCAGTAAAATACTGTACCTACCGGTACCTATTTAATCAGTGGTGTTTTCCTAATGCCCTTTAATACTTTCTTTATATTCTTTAAACAATAGTTTACAACCAAATGTTTTTTTTCCTTTGTACTGTATTTTTGCTTATAAGCATGTGCTATGATTCTTTGTTTACATTTACATTATTATCTCGTAACCATCATAGCAACTTATAAGGCTAAAAATGTTAACAATTTTATATTATTAGTTTTAAATTGTACAGTCATTATCAAACTTAAATGTAATTGTTAAATAACATGCTTACTGTTTGTCGAAATAACCTGGTAGGTTTGGCTTGAATACGTTCAGCCGTTAATGGTAGCCGAGTGGTTATAGAGCTTGCCTTCAAATCCGAAGGTCGCTAGTTCGAATCCCAGTGAGATTGTTTCCAGACCCAGATGCCATTTGTCATTGGGCTATGAATTAATGATGCTATCTAACAAAAAGGTTGACGTTAGATTGTAACAAGACCAGGGTTTGGACCGTTCCCTTTCAAAACGTAAAAAATGCCACTGGCGTAAATCGGTAAATAAAATTTTTATCCGGACATGGGTATAAGATATACAGTATAGTCGTTTCTTTGCGTGTTATGAGGTTAACAATATGGACAGATAAAAGTTGGTACAGAGTAGCCCCAAAACTGATGTCTTTGATTTTTCACATTTTTAAATATTTTCACATTTGGTTACCGGTACCAATAACAGTTTTGAACAATGTCATCTCAATAAACAATAAATAAAATAATAAGCTACTCTGATTAAAAAGTTTAAATCTTGATTTTCTATTCAGCTTATGTACCCTCCAGGGATCACAGCATGAGGTTCAGGGTCACATAACTATCAAAATGTCATTTTTTTCTCACAGATCAAGATGCAACAATAATGATCTAATACATATTCAAGTATCGTGCACATATTAAAGTCTCCAACAAGCTACCATCAAGGCCAAGCAATCGAGTTCAAATCTGACTCTAGCGACTTTGTTTGTTATTCCATCCACTACTATTCTATCTGCCTCCCACCCATTTGCAATGATTAGTCTATAACACTCAGCCAACAGCCAATAACAATGTGAGGCAAGATCAACACTCCAGACAAATTATATTTCTGTGGCTTAAGGGGTCTCCCTATTAAAGTTCATCATCAATCTACAGATAAAATTGAGAAAGTCTTTGGACATTGAAAATGTACGTAAAGGGTAGTAGAAGTTTGAAAGCAATCATAAAAATTTGCACAGTGATTGCATTGTTTGCACGGTGTTGGCCTGCTGAGCTAGACCATCAGTTTTGTTTGAGACAATGAAAAAAGTTAGGGATTTTTAGTTGTGTCACTTCACAATGTCGACTAGAGATTGCCAGTTTTGACTACTCAAAATGTGACATCCCTCCCACCTCTCAGACAGAGCTCCTGGACACCAGGACAGACAAAGGCAATGCAGAGGTAGAGAACAGTGCTGCCGAAAGATTGGCCTGGTGTTAGCTGGCTGAGGTGACTCGGCAAAGGGACACCAGTTTCTGAACTGGCTGAACTTCTCCAGAGTTAATCAGGTCACGAAGAGGGACAGGGGTACATAGGTGGACGGTCCAAAAGAGCTAAAGCCTTGTGACACCCAGGAGATGGTGGGCTGGTTGCCCTATGACCCTGACTTGCAGCTGTAAGTACGTCACACATCAACCAGCTGTGTTGGGTGGATGCAGGCGCGTGTGTGGCTGTGTATCCTAAATCCGGTAGGCCTAAGATGCCATGGCCACCACACTGTAGTAGCACAAGCTGTGCCTCAGCGGTGCCAGCCACACAACACCTTCATCACCACTAGTATTGGCCAGACTGGAGCCTCTATGTTTACCAATCTGTTCCTACCTGCGAGTGTCATGACTAAGTCACTGAGGTCAACATTACTGATGGGCATGCTGGGATGTTGGTACCTGAGGGAGCTGACCTAGAGCTGTTGAGAGTGCACAGAGTTTGAAGAAAGAGTTTTCCGAACTTATAGCATGGAAGCAGATCAAGTTTAAGCGGGAGAAGGTTCTGTTTTGATTCCAAACAAAATGATAAATAGTGGACACTTGTGGCTTATATTACACCAAGGTTACATGCATTACACTTTGGTAGTTTCAACAACCTGAACTATATTTCACATCTGACCTCAGGGAGAGGGATACAATTTGGGGTATATTTCCTACAAAAATAACTCTTCAATAACCAATGAATGTTGGGAAAACTGCATCCAAAACAGACCTCTTCCCTTTATTCTGGTTAAGCAGAAACCTGTACATAAAAAGATTTGTTAGTGTAATTAACTTCTAGACTTCGGCAATTGTTTCAATTACTGTTGAGGGGTGAGATTCTTTAGAGTGGTAGGCAATTAAGAAGATTGATTAGGGGTTGAGTTTAAGACTCAACAATTGTTGTAAAACAATAGTGCTTAGTTACTGTTGCACTTGACTGTATGTCAGGCATGTAGTTTTCAAAGAGATTACCTCAGATTTTGCATCTTTTGACTAGACATTAATACAACCAAGCTACAACATAGTTAAATTGGCAGTAAAGAAGCCAACAATTTGACTTGAGAAAACTCTCTTCTATCTTATGTGTTAGCTATTTTAGATTAAATTAGTAGGCTATCACTGTAGCAGAACTTATATTAGGTAACCTACATGTTAACTTCTATTATAAATCATACATGCTACGTGTTGACAAATTCTACCCTCCAGTGTGATTCAACATGCCTTCGTAGGTCCGATCGACGAGTGAATGACTTGTCACACGACATGCACTGATAGGGCCGCTCTCCCGTGTGTATTAAAGTGTGCCTCCGTAAATCTGACTGTCTCGTGAATGACTTGGTACACACAGAACACTGAAAAGGCCGTTCACCAGAGTGATTCAACATGTGTCTCTTGAGGTCAGACTGTCTAGTGAATGTTCTCTCACAAGCTGGGCATTCATAAGGTCGCTGTCCAGTATGACTCAACATATGCCGGTTCATATCAGATCGGCGTGTAAAGCATTTATCACATACAGGACATTGATGGGATCCTTCTCCGGTGTGACTAAACATGTGTGTCTTTAAGTACGACTGACGTGTGAACGCTTTATTGCACGAAAGACACTCGTAAGGGCGTTCGCCTGAATGACTTAACATGTGTCTTTTCAAATCGGACCGTCTTGTGAAACACTTCTGACATGTAAGACACTGGTTAGGGCTTTTGCCTTGACTATACATGAGTGTGAGTAATTCTCAAACAACAGACTTCAAAATATATACATGATCTTTATGATTTGGCATTTGTACAAATTGTTATCTCCAATTATCAGGATAATATTTAAGTATGCAAATACTTATGGTTCTCCAAAACAATTTTTTAATAGTAACACATTTCATTTATCAGTTTACTTTAACCGATTCACCTATAACTGCTTCTTTTTGTATGAAGTTATTTCAACAGTTTCTTTGAGAATTCACATTTCCGGTTCAGTACCTTTCTAAGTTAGGGCAGTGTATAAGTTGATTCTTGGAGTCTTAACTTGGTTGTGATTTTATGAAGATCATCTATATGGCGTCATTTACACAACATCTGAAAGAATATTATACATAAATACATAGAAAGATTATTGATACTTCAGAAAAGTCAGTTGTTGGGTATTCCTCTTGCATACAGTAGACTCCCTCTTATCCGGACTCCTCGGAACCGAGGCCAGTCCGGATAACGGGTTTTCTGGTTATACCAACGTCCCCCAAAACTCACTGGCCAAATGTCACTGGCATAAAGTTTTGGGTCCTTAATAACTCTATGACCTAACAATAAATATTCAGGCTAATCTAAAACTCAAAAAGTCTAAAACTCATCCCATAATATTTTGACTAGCATTAGGCCTAGAATCTTTAAAACTCAAGTGAGCTGATTTAACCCTTCCAGGGCTTTGGACGGATATCTCCGTCAATCTTCGTTTACTTTGCAGGCTGAAAACGGATACATCCATCCCGAGAAATTTCTTTTCTGGGCTAAAGACAATAATCGCCCATTAAACAAATTGATATTCATTGTTTATAATGCAAAAATAAACATTACACTGCATTATAAATGTATTTTGTTTTCGTGGTTTGCAATAATAATTTCATCAGCTGCTTCAGTTATTATTTTGCACCATAGAGTTCATATTGTGAAACTGGCACTTCACACGTGGTTGTTAGTGAGTGATGTTTACATTTGTGTTTTGGGCTTCATTTTTTGTTATTGAGCTAAAGTGACCAATCCGAACCATCTGAAATTTAAAGATGTTTTGAGATGCTTGGTAAAAGTAACTTATTACTGAGGGGATTTTTTGGCAATGAAAATGATAGTATGGAATGTGATGGATATGATGAACCTGAAGAACAGTCGTTACGTAGTGGAAGTCTTGGTGGGGAATGGGTACCTATGAGGTTATGGGAGCGGAACTGAGTGGTCAGATTTACCTACTTCAGAATTATAGTTAGCCTACATTTTTATGGATAAAAAATCAAAAAAGGGTAGGAATAGCCTACAGTAAGGTTGACGAATATATCCGTCTGCCGCCCACAAGAATACTCAAGATTATTGGCAAATTGTTCATATTTTGTGATTATCACTAAGGGCAGCAGATAGATATATAAGTTACGTCCACCTAATGTTTTTTGTGGGCCTAAGACACATTGTGGTATCCGTCATATTATATTTTATTTTCTTCATAACTTGTGTAGCCTACAAAAATTAGTGCAGTGCTAAGAAAAGTCTGTTTATGATCCATGAACTAGTCCAAGCAAAATGAATAAAAAACGTACCATAAACACTTAAATTCTTGAACTTTGGCAAAACCTATATAAAAGGTTGAGTAAAAAGAAAATTACCAAAATTTACCCAGTACCTATTTAAAAAGGGCGAAAGGTCAGACCCCAATAATTATAGGCCTATCTCAAACCTACCCACCATCTCTAAACTGCTCGAAAGGACAGTCCATAATCAATTGCTAGCCTACTTGGAAGACAACAACCTACTTTCCCCTTGCTAGCATGGGTTTAGGAAGGGGTTTAGCACAAACACAGCAATACCTAAGCTATGCAAGGACATAAACGACATTTGGGAAGGTAAAAAAGTGCAACAGGATTTTTTCTAAACCTGCAAAAAGCATTCGATAACTTAGACTGGAATATTTTTATGAGCAAACTGCAGCAATTAAACATTACAGACATAGCCCGGCGTTGGATTGTAGACTACCTAACAGACAGATTCCAGTTTGTAGAAATTCAGCACCAGCAACAAAACACCGTATCAAGTATTAAGTCAAGTTTGAGGAAGACTACCAGAGGCGTTCCACAGGGCTTGATAGTCGGTCCACTGTATTTCCTGACATCAACATCCTACCAGAATCATTCAAAGGCAACATAAATTGTAATTTATTTGCAGACAACACAACCATAGTAGTACCACCAACCATCTTATTGACAATAGTAACCTAGTAAACTCAACAATTGACAGAGCAAACACTACATGCAACTCTATGAAACTTAATATTAACAAAGCAAAGACTGTCCTTGTAAACTTTACTCCAAACAACAAAAACGAATCTGGTGGCAATTGGCATGACCTCAGCCTACCCCTATCGGGCTCAACAAAATTTCCTCGGAATATATGTTGACCAAAATCTCAGATGGCAGGACCACGTTGACTACCTCTGTGGGAAGTTATCTTCTGCACACCATGTTGTTCGAAGAATTAGAGCCATCACTACTGAACCTACAGCATTAATAACCTACCACTCCCTCTTTTCTTCACATTTGCGTACTATGGAGTTGTTGTCTGGGGATCCACAGCAGACAAGAACATGGAACGCATCCTCACCATCCAGAAGAAGACCATAAGGACAATCTTTCAACTGCAATCCCATGAACACTGCAAGCCGATTTTCAGAGATCACAAAATCCTCACAGTCATATCCCTGTACCTGTTGGAATCCATCACACTTCAAAAAAATCGACACCTACCCTAAGATCAGAACAACATTCATACAACCTCCGCAAGACACATAGCATAGACTTGCCACAACATCGATTGCAGAAATTCAACAATAGGCCTAGTCCTCACTATTCCCGGCTCGTACTTCTTCAATTTATTACCACCACAACTCAAAACCATCAAAAAACCTGTCACCTTCAATAGCAAACTAAAACAATAGTTAATAGATAGACATACTACACAGTCTCCGACTTCATTGAAGACATTTAAGTACCTAACCTCTAGCGAAAATGAGATGGTGGCCAACACTACTGAACTCATGTCAGTAAAGGTTTATATTTATTTAGGGTAATTTATGCAGGATGGCTAAATGTGGAAAACATGGCAAGACATAATAGGAATAGGTAAGTAGGCCTAGCCCAATGAATGTGCTATTGTACTTTACCTAACAAAAAGAATTACTTAACAATAATAAGCATTGGTACTAGACCTTATTTACACATTGTACTTGGCAGCATGACTAATAAGCTAGTTCCTTACAATAATAGGCTACAATTTTCAGAATAATATTTTAACTAAAACCCAAATTTAAACATACGTGTTTACCTCAATTTAGGCCTAGCAATAGGCAAAGGTAGCCTGGGATCCAATAGCGAGCGAAACATAACCTCAAAATGATTTATTCTTGGTTAATTTGGATTTGGGCGGACAACGCATGAATTATACAGTAACAAAAACTAAATGCCTAGTAGAGGCTATGCTTAAGTTCAAATTCGATCTAAACAACGCAAGAATTTGAACGAACATCCATGATGTTCGTGATGGTGATGATGGTTTGTTTTGTTTTCATTCCAATGATTGTTTGATGTTGTTCGTTGTTCTTGTTCTTCTTACATTCATCTTTCTTTTAATGTTGTCTGTCCCGTCACAACCACTGTCACAACGGGTCTGACTTAGGGGAGGTAAAATGAGGCATTTAGTTCAAAATTCCTCCGTGAACAGCGCTGTAGTAAAGAGCACTTTGGCAATGAAGGTTTACTAATCGCAAAAATAGTTCTGATCATAAAATAAAATTATAAATGCCTAAAATTCTATTTTATTAATTTTTAATTATAAAATTAAACTATCATAACCTAACCGAACTAACCAAACTTGCTTATAAAGAAATAATATAACAAAAGTTTATAGTAATCGGAAAAATAATTCTGTTTATAAAATAAAACTAGAAATTGCTCAATTAAAATTTTATAATGACTTAATAATAAAATTAAACTGTAATAACCAAACCAAACCAACCAAACTTGCTGAAAATGAAAAAAATCTTGGACAAAAAGTTAATGCCACCGGCGGGATTCGAACCCGGGACCTACAGTATATCAGCCCGGTACGCTAACCATTAGACCACCGAAGCCAATGGCTATCAACCGTTTTGTTACGGTAATGGCGTTCCCTCAGCTAATAAGAAGCCCACAGCTGTCATCGTAGCCTCTTCTATACCTCCCCTGAGTAAATACCCTGTCACAACCGTCTCTCTCGCAGCAGTAGGGGTCGCCGGAATTTTATCCCCCTGGAATTTTACCCCCTGGGCAAAGCTGACGTCACTATGACGTAGTAACCTGAGTGGCCAAAAGTTTGTTCGCGGCCGGAATTTTACCCCCGCGGATTTGGAAGTCTAATGAAAATAGACAGAGCGTGATTAATTAGATTAGCAATAAAACCCGGAATTTTACCCCCTGTCCATATAACTAGCGTTTAGACAACTGAAGATGTACGGGCCGGATTTTTACCCCCGGAATTTTACCCCCAGTTTTTTACCCCCCGGAATTTTACCCCCGGATTTTTACCCCCCGGAATTTTACCCCCTGGCCGATTTTAGAAATTGAATGTTTGATTTTCTTATTTCTGTTTTTAATTAATTGTACACATTTCATTATTTAGTAGCCTATCTTTATTTATTTATTTTGTAAAGAAATAATCGAAACAATTATCATTCAGTTGATTGTTTATACGTCATATTAACCAACTGTTAGCTTCAAAGATCGAATCCTAATTACTAGAATCTCAAAATTAAAATTAAAAACCTGTTCGGTTAGTTAATGTTACAAATATAGGCTACTTAATAATAAAATGTTTACTATTAAATTAAAACGGAATGAAGATAATTAATCATTCTCACTAATTTATATATCTGGCTAGGGGGTAAAATTCCGGGGGTAAAAATCCGGGGGGTAAAATTCCGGGGGTAAAATTCTGGGGGTAAAAATCCGGGCCGTACACTCTAGGTTTTTATAATTTGATGTGTTCTGATTAAATTCACAACCGTGAAAATATATGTTTAATTCCGCGTTTAATCCATCGAGCTGATGTCACGAAACTCAAAAGTTCGCGGCCGGAATTTTACCCCCTGGTTTGTGACGTCACGTTTGCCCAGGGGGTAAAATTCCAGAGGGATAAAAATCCGCTACCCCAGCAGTAGTCCTACTTGTTTTGGAAGTTTTGCTCTGTGGAACTAGATTAACTGGATATCTGAAATTTGGCATGATTTTAGATCTTGCGCCCGTTTCGAAAAGTGACGTTTTACAAATATAACTCCCCACACGAAATATAGAATCCCCCCCCCCCCAATGTTATTCCTACAGGTGCATTGGTCTAAATCAATTTTACCCACTTCTAGATTAGCTAAAGATCTGAAATATGGCTCAATTGTAGGTCTTGCGCCATGGCCCATTTGTATTTACCCCCAACCCACAAAGGGGCCGAGCCAAAGGCGAGTATGTTTTATCTATTGGTCTCGTGTTGGTCAGTGACCAAAATAATAATCCCGCTCACTGGGTCCATAAATCACGTTTTATCCCGCTTTTGAATTATGAAAACTCCCGTGTTATCCAGCAAATTTTTGTTGTTGTTGTTGTTAAAATTGCGTGTTATATTAGACGTATCGTGTTTAAATAGTAGTTTAAACATTGCTATTTTATTTTGCTACAGTAATTTTATCAATTGAGGTTAGTTGTTAACAAATGTAAAACATCAAAAATCTAAAACATACGTCATAGCCAAATATCCTGGCCAAAGTCCTCGCCACCCTAACTTGAGGCAGCCCAGCCGAAAGCCGCAATAAACGGCAATACACGGGCGTGCGGTCTTGGGCTGCCTCAAGTAGGGTGGCGAGGACAACTGCCTGCCCACCCCTTCCAGTCACATATTCCTCATAGTGTCTGTATCGTAAACTGTGAACTGTTTCTCTTTCACTGGCGTTTACTAATTATGCTTGTTATTAAATATGTCGATTGTCGAACAAGAATTTGGAATGTATAGTTTTAACTTCAAACTGTTAACTTCAGGCTTGTTATGAATTTTGGAATGAGGAAGCTCTGAAGCACAAGACCGTCCCTCTTATGTATAATACTGAGGAGAAAAGGAATCCCTGTAATATTTTGTGGCCTACCCTAGTCCTATTTTACTACTTATGAGTTGTAGTAGTGTATCAACAATCTCAAATACTTAACTTAAACGTATTCAAGAATTGTGCCTTTTAGAATGCCCACAATTTTTTGTAGTTTACTTTTTAACTGCCGGTGTTTTTTTGGAGAAGTGATATTTTTATCAAGCCCTGAAATGAAATACTGGATAACCCCTCAAAAAGATCACTGTCCCAAACCACAACTAATTTTTATCTAACGAGAAACTGAATACTGAATAGCATTTAGCGTCAATCGGTGATTTTTAGTTAACCGATTTTCCGTACAACAACTAATTTTACCTGTACTCCAGGATCTGAAGGGGGTTGAGTATGCATGAAAAGGCTGACGCAATTTTATTTCTGATTGTTGTTATAGGCACTATTATCACGAAAACGCATGTTGTTGCCCTCCAGCGTGGTCGACATCCCGGGGGGGGGGGGGGGCAATATGCTGGCGGGTGGCGCAGTTTACTAAAACACCTATAACTCTAGAACTATTATTGGTAGAACATTGAAATAAACATCAATTTACTCATAAAATTTTGATCTTTAAAAATTTTGCTGCGTTGAAATTCGTAACTTTGTTGGTTTTTTATTTTAGTTATTTTATCAGTCATTAAAGAAATAACCCCGCCGTAGCAAACCTACAGACTAAGCGAATTTACATTTACCTGACTGGATTTCTATTAAAATATTGTCAGCTTTTCTGACAATTGTACTGAAAATTGTCAGCTTTATTTCCTATTAAAATAAAATTAATTTTAATGAGTTGATAGGTTTGATGCTACAGGGAAAGTATTGAGCTAGTTTTTATTGAAATGTTGATAGCTTAGTATGAAATAAACAAAATTGCCAAATTTGATTAAAATATATCCATAAATAAACAAACTACACCAGCTTATTTATTCTACATAAAAATAACATGGGAAATTTGAATTTAAAGTGTTTTTTTTATTATCTCCACAACCGTTAGGCATACAGCAAAACGTCAACATACAAAATTATTTATTTTTTAAGCTCTACGAAATTGTTTGGAAAGAAGTTGTGAAATTTTATGTTTTCAGAGGCAAAAATGGGAAAAACCTATTTTTACCCCATATATAGCCCCATATTGATTTTTAGCTTCAATATAAAATAGCTAAAAAACCAACAAAGATACGAATTTCAACACAGTACATTTTTAAAGATCATAATTGTATGAGTAAATTGACGCTTATTCGATGTTCTACCTATAATACTTCTAGAGTTATAGGCGTTTTAGTTAGTGATGTGCGTATCGATACAGATATCGATACAAGGACCGCAAAATATCATTTTGTATCGATCGATACACTACACCTATAGCCAATATCGTATCGAATATCGTATTGTTTATTTATTAATATAAATCTTATTTTTAAGGTAAGAAATTTGTCTTCCCATCTTCCTCCCCTCCAAAGTAGTAGGGGAAATTTTATATTTTACCCTACCATCCTCAAAAACACTGATAAAACATGTATTTTCAGCTATGTTTTGCAAATAACCTCAAAACTAGGGCCACCATTAATGGAATTGGGGTCAATCATTATCCATATTATATTATTTAATGTGGAAGTGGCATACCCACCATCGTTATAAGTACCTTTTGGTTCAATTAATTATCCCTGTATAAAAAACAAGGAAACAATAACAAAATGTTTTCCAATATTGAGGTTTTACCGGAATTTGCGGGTTATGTATGTGAGTTCGATACAAATAAAATTACACAGAAAGGAAAGGGCTTTTCTGAGGTAAGATTACATGCACTAACCCTCTTTACAAGCTTATAAGTAACATAGTATTTGTCTATGCAGCTTGTATATTTGAGATATTTACATTTTTTTAAATTGTATAAATAAACAATACGATACGATATTTTATCCGATACGGGTAAAAATCGATACATGAGGATACGATACGATACACGTATCGATAAACCATGTTCCGATACGTATCGATATGCAGTATCGATACATTGACCCATATCGCACATCACTAGTTTTAGTAAACAGCGCCCCCCACAATATTGCCCCCCTCCACAACGGGATGTCGACAAAAACACTGGGGGGCAACAACATGCGTTTTCGCGATCACTTTAGTGCCTATAACAACAATCAGAAACGAAATTGCATCAGCCTTTCATGCATACTCAATCCCCTTCAGATCCTGGACTAATGATGATGTGATGATAAACCGAATAACATTTAGTCAACAGGCCTAACAAGTACCCTACCTTTTTTTTACTTATCTGTATTAAAAATGTTGATGCATTTTTCGTTGAAGTCTTCAATAGAGTACATCCACATTGGATTTTCAGTAAGGATTTGTTTTAATTTTCTTTTGTATTCTTTTAATTTTTAGTTTTAAATAATAGTTGGTAATTTGTTAAATAATTTTCTTCCGTTGTAATAAACATGTTTTTCATAAAATTTTGTTTGGTGGAAAGTAGAAGAAAATGTTTGTAATTTTCTCAAATCATAATTCTTCTTACATAATTCATAATTTTGCAAGAATTTCTCAAAATTGTTCTTTAAAAATAGTAATGTTTTATAAATATAAATTGATTTGAGTAAAAGGTCATAAATTGGTAATTTTTAAATATTTTTTACAGGATTGGCGTGGTTTTAAGTTGTAATAAAAAATATCAGTTTGTAATGATTTACCGGTATAGGTATAACATCAGAAAGATAAAAATAAAAAAATCTTAATATAAATTAAACTGACAAACTTTGTTAAATCACCAAATCGCTAGGTAAGACTAATTTAACCGAATCAGGATAAAATAACCTAATTAGTCCGTTTAGCATCAATATTTTCATTCGGTGTTTTCCACCACTACTACCGTAATCAAGTACAGTACTTCAAATGCAATTCCAACGTGATCAATTTTAGCAAACTCTTATTTTACGTTCAATGCACGGATTACAGTTATTGAGTTATATGAGAATGTTTTAATCAATAGCTACTCATGTAGGTAAAATATACTGTATCTTGAATACAGAAACATTTGTTTATTGCCCGTTGTTAGGTTTTGCACAACATATAGAAAATGTTTACACTACAATAAACAACATAATATAAAATATATTTAAAAATTCCTATGTGAAATAACTCAAAAAGTTTGAGAACTGTTAAACATTCTCAGAGAGTCAAAGCAAATATTGAAGTTGAAAGAGTGGCAAATTTTAAATCAGTAATTAATTCACATCAATCATTTGTTATTATTGACTAGACTTAAATGTACAAATCTTCAATGATTAAAAAAAATACATTATTTATAATGATGTCTTAATATTTCAACACAAAATGCAAATAAAAAGCAGAGTAAAAAGGCAGTAGGTTCTTAGAAAAATATACAGTAAGAAATAATTTACTAATTTAAAATAATAACTTTCATAAATATAGATTTTTACGAGCCAACAACACTAAAGTTCGTTCCTCATATAGTCCTATGACTGTGTCGAGTCATCATTTTCTGCCTTAACATGTTTCAACAAATGTCTTTTCAATTCAGGTCTTCGTCTGAAAGTTTTATCACAATGCGGGCATACACAGGGTCGCTCATCCGTGTGAGTTAGCATGTGAGATTTCAAGTGTGACCTTTGTGTGGTTGTTTTCGGGCACAAATGGCACTTAAAAGGCCTCTCACCAGTATGTGTCAGAATGTGTGCCTTCAACACTAGCATTTGAGTGAAGGATTTTCCACATTCCTCACAAGTATGAGGTCTTTCCCCGGTGTGTGTTCTCATATGTAACTTCAAAAATCCTCTTCTCAAAAAGGCTCTTCCACACTCCGTACAATGATGATTTCGCTCACCTGTGTGAATGAGCATATGCTGTTTTAACACTACCTTGGATGTAAATGACTTTTCACACACAGTACACTTAAAAGGCCTCTCCCCCGTGTGTGACATCACATGTACTTTTAAACTTTTCTCGGTGGCGTAACTTTTGCTGCATATCATACATTTAAAAGGTCGCTCGCCATTATGACTTGCTATATGCGCCCTCAAACGACTATCAGATGTGAAGGTTTTAGAGCATATCTCACACAGAAAGAGATTATCACCAGAATGAGTTGACAAGTGTGACTGTAAATATTTCATGTTTGAAAATGTTTTTGGACACGAATCACATAAAAATACTTCTCTTGTATGCATTACCATGTGCTTCTCCACCATTGCTTTGGATAGAAACGTTTTGTTGCAAGTCAGGCATTCAAAACTGCACTCAGGAGGACTCTCATCGTTGGTGTGAGTACTTAAATGTAGTGTTAACATTTTTTTACTGACGAATGTTTCTGAGCAGATCTCACAGAGGTAGGTATTTTTGTTGGTCGTAAGCTTACCTTTCCTGGATATTTTCTTTGGTTTAACGTTTTGAAGACTTTCTGAACACTGATAATGTTCTAAGTGGGTTGATAAATGGGAACTTAAGCGGTCCTCATTTAGGAAACACTTATCACAAATCTTACAATAATGACTCAGAGACTCTTCCTTAGTGTCAGAGTAAGAATAGTCGGATCGAGAAGTAAGATTTTTGGAGGTGCTTTCTATTACTCCGCCTGCTGCATTTTCACGTTCATCAGCGGACTCCATTATTGTTTGTCTTGTAATCACTCTTTATCCTTGATGGAACCTAAAACCGAAAACATTTGAAACATAGTGACTAAATTCTATAGACATAATATTTAAAAATGAATCCAAGCATTTTGGATTCCATGCACTACACATAAGTTACAATGCACGTTTTTCAGATGCATACAGTATTTCTTTCTCATATTTACTGATTAACGTTTTAGCTTATTTCACAAATAAGCTATTACCGTAGTACTCATGGTAAGACCTGGACCCCAAACTGATTTAGCGTACTTTTTTTTCAGGCGGACTATGAGAACAGGGTTTTATGGCACAAAAATAGGGTTTTCCCATTTTTGACCCTAAAAACACAAAATTTCACAATTTCTGTCCAAACCATTTTGTCGAGCTTAAAAAAAAACAAATAATTTAGTATATTGAAGCGTTATTGTGCGCCTGAATGTTACGGAGAAAATTCTAAAAAATTGTAAATTTACAATTCCCATGTTATTCTTATGAAGAATAAGTCATCTATTCTGGTATGCTTGTTTATAACCATATTTAGATCAAATCCGGAGAATACATTCATCATTTCTTACTAAAATATTAACATAAAAAAAACTCTTTTTTACCCTCTTTTTGGCAGTAAACCTAAGTACCGTGTACTCATTAAACTAACCACTAACAGTCCTAGTTAAACTAATTCTATTTAAATAGGGAATAAATGTGATCTTTTAAGGAGGCATTTTAGTGTACATCCAATCAGGCTAATGGAAATTTGCTTAGTCTGCAAGTTTGCTGGGGCGGGGGTATTATGATTTAATCATGTGAAAGATAAATCTTACTAATATTATAAATCTGAAAGTTTGTGAGTTTGTGTGTATGTTTGTGTGTGTGTTTGTGTGTGTGTTTGTTGCTCAATCACGCATAAACTACTGGACGGATTGGGCTGAAATTTCGCATGATGATAGCTCACATTCCCGATTAACATTAAAGCATATTCTTATCTCAAAAACCCTTTCGGGCTCCGCCCCAGTGGCTCTGTAGTTCCCCATGTTAATCTCATGATTTTTCATATTTAAAAGGAATTAATGAATCTTAACAGCTGTTTCAATTTTAAACAAGTTGATTCTGTTCTATGATGTTCAGTAGCATAAAAGTTACAAGGATTAACAGGGTGCAGCACTATTATTTTTTTTATTTATGACAACAGCTAATTTCCAACCAAAAGGTGAGTGAGCGTAGCGAACGAACTTCAACCTGGAGGCGAGTTAGCGTAGCGAACGAGCTAACCTGAAGGCAAGTGAGCGCAGCGAACAAGCTCCAACCTAAAGGTGAGTGAGCGTAGCGAACGAACTTCAACCAGGACGTGAATGAGCCATGCGAATACTTATGAAGTTAAACGGGGCGAAGCCCGCGGGTACAGCTAGTCCATATATAAATCCCAAAGTACCCATGAACTTTTGAGAAAACTACAAGCCACACCCCCATAAACCATATACTTAAAATGTTCGTCATGACGAGAAACCTTGCGCAAAACTATCCATCAATTATTTCATAAATTGCCCTTTAAGGTGGTAATTCCTTTCCAAAGGAAAATTTCCCAACACATAATGTTAAAAATACCTCAGCTGTACTTATTTGTATGTTATTCTTGTATTTGTTATATTTGTATTTCTATTCAACAAACACCATAACTTACCAGTTTTCATCCACAATGGCCTACTCCTAGGCCTATGTAAAAACTAAAAAGCCATAACATTAGCCATGTAGCATTAGCTTGGGCTATGGGCCAAAGAATGTAGGCCTATTTTTAATCACAGTGAAGTACATCACAAATCAGGCGACATATTTATCAGTAACAGCACGCCAACTCATCAAATAAAGGTAAACCAACCGATTTTCCGAGTATTTAACGCCGACAACGACACAACATAAAAATCTACCTACACGCCGGTAATCGGAAGGTTAGATATATCAGTTAATCTTACTTTATCGCGTTTTCACGATCATCTTTTCCTTTTAATCCACGTATTTCCGTTCCAAAATTTGATTTAAAAAAATTTAAGTAGGCTAGCTTAAATTTTAGACTTGAGTCTAGACCAGCCAGTTCCTGCCTGACAGTGACTAGCGGTGGCTATTGTTTAGTTTTATTTTAATTAATTAGTTTTAAAGTTTTATTTGCAAAACAAATAATTATTACGTCTAAATTATTTCTTGTTTTTCGTCGTTTTGTACCCCGAGACTTGTCGTCTGAGTTCTTCTTGACATGTGATCACTTGTCTCAATTCTTTCCCACAAGAAAACTCGTTTCAGTACCGCCAGCTTTCAGCTCAGATCTAGTCCGGTTAAACCTATGTGCTGATAAAAAATTTTCCGGCTAAAAATGTCTAAACCGGCCTAGTCCGGTTAAATGGTGTCCGGATATGAGGGAGTCTACTGTATTTGGTTTCAAAACTAATCGATTTTATTCCGCATTTAGTAGAGTATAAACAGCTGTTTGCTCTCCTCACTCAGTCCTCAGTGCGGCTGCACTTTACATTAGGTCCTACACTCATTCGAATGAAAATATCGATCGATATATCGATTAATCGATTGTTTCATTCGATATATTGTTAGTTAGGTAAGGTTAACCTAACCTAACTTACCAAACGATATAGGCTATCGAATGAAACAATCGAATAATCAATATTTTCATTTGAATGAGTGTAGGACCGAGTAAGTAAAGTGCAGCCTCAGTTCACATTCGGACCCATCCAGACCACGCTATAATACCATCAGTACCACTAAATGAACCTTAGATTCGAAATTCATGTTTTTCGTTCGTTTTACATCCACATAGGAAACTCTCAACAAAAACTGATTGCATTTTTGGATTCAGCGTGAAAAACAACTGTAAGTAGACATCAAAAAATTACATGATATCGCGTTAGACATAGCTTATTAAATAATTGCCACCGAGGTTATTACTAATAAAAAAGAAAATCTGGGCCTTGGCTTTGTGTAGGTGGATCAGTATTTTCTAATAATCTAAGCTCTCAGAAAGAAACAGACCTGTAAATGAGTTTATCTTTTCCAAATTAGGCCAAAATAAAGGTGTATTAAAATAATTATTTAATAAAATGTAAACTGCCTAGGGCTAGGCTACGCCTATGCAAACAATTAAATAAAATGATGTTCTTAAGTTAGGCTATAATTATTTTACACACCTTTTGTCCATTATTGTCTCCATCATTTTTAAGTCAGAATAGGCTATGCAAATGCTACCTCCTCCTCAAATCTATTTACCCGCTGATTTGATGCTGCGTTGATGAATAAATTCAATAAATGTAGATTTTTTGTATTATTTAATTATTTGCTTTTTCATCTCATCTTCATTCTTCTCTTCGTTTCGGTTCGGTCTGCTGACGGTCTCGGACTCGGTCTCTCTCTGTCTCATTCTTGTCACACAGTCAGAGTACTCAGAACTCAGAGTCAAGTGAGACGGAGACCAGGACCAGACTCAAGTGCAGGAGTGCAGTCCAGTGATCAGCTCAGTCAGTCTCAGTCTCTCACTCGTTCAGCTCAGTCCTGTCCTGTATCCACCAACCCACTCCACTCTCAACTCAGTAGCATACTAGCATTGACTATATTAGTACAGGTAAAATAATACAAAAACACTCCATAAACAACAAAATTTGTACATTCATGAAATTTCACCCGTAAGTTACTAATAATATGAGAAATGAAGATCCGATGAGTCCCCAAAATTTTGGGCGTCCTAAGGCCCTTTTTGGGGCCCTTTTTGTTCCGAAGGGCCCTTGTTCCTGAATAATTTTGTTTTTACGTTTGTCGAGTGATGTGTGGTTTCCGATGGTTTTAGTTATTTTAAATCGATTGGGACTAGTGTTAAGTGTATTAAACCACTCCATACAGGGTGTTTCAAAATATTATTACTTTTTACGATATTTAAACGAGTGAAAATTTAAAAACGTACGTTTTCATGTCCCTGGCCTTTTACTTCGTAGATACTGGATTTGTAGTTTATTATTATATGTTTTAATATTTTTTGGGACGGGGGCAACATGTTACACACATTTATTTGGTTTTAAATAGGTTCTAGGTATTTTTTTCGTATTTTTAAAGTCTCAAAATTCACGACCATGACGTGTCCCTAGGGTACATTTTCCAACTTTCACGCTGTTTTTAGACTAATTATTCATGCCGAAATATATAAAGCCATATTTTTATGTCATCAATAGTTATTAAACTTACAAAAAAGGAGCATATTATAATTTTATTGTCATTGCTAACTGACTACCATGACAAAATAAGTCTGTCCCTCGATTTGGCGTCACGACCATTTGGGAAAAATTTTCTACTTTGAAGCACGACAGTGGCAAGCCTGGCGTCAATGGAGTCAGTTGGTTTTAGAGACTAGTTCGGGGTGTACGTCAGGATTGTAGTGCCGGTCGTTTCGAGTTGAATGGTGGAATTACAAGATTAATAAAGGAAAGATTGTGTTTTTTGTAATTTTGGTGTGTCCATGACCGTACGTAGTCATTTGATGATGTAGACATGGTGTTAATTTTTGTTTGTAAGATATTTCAATTGCTAGATAAACCTAGAAGTCCACTTTGTATCCTCGAACATGAGGTGCAGGGCTACCGCCAGAACAGAGCCAAATAACACGTAATTTCACGACCAAAGTTTCACGACCATCGCGGGTTTTTTCACGACCAATCCAGCCTTATGGATTATAGTGTGTTTGGTCGTGACAATAACTTTAATATAATTGTAAATTGAACAGTTAAGTTCAATTAAAACACATGTTTTTATTATAACTAACAGTGTAATTGAAGGAATGTTTAGAAAGATTTAGATTATTTCAGAAAATTCACGACCGTACCGCTTGTCCCTGACCATCACATTTATGATTTCTATCATAAAAAATTCAAAAATTAAAATATCGTCATATTTCAATGTTTTATACACAAAAGAAGCACACCTCTATACAAACATAACGATTTTTCGGGTCTCAGGTAAGTTTTTTCGGAGTTATACAAACTTAAAAAGATTTTATTGGCTTTTTTTCAATTTTTTGAGTTTTTTTATTTTTTTCTAGAAAGACCAAATATTCCAAAAGCTCAGTGACCTTTTTATTGTATAATGGTCATAAAAGTAAATTAGTTTATAGCAAAACATAGTTATAAAAATAATATTAACTATTTTTAAAATTCATTTAAACGTCTGTTATGGTCGTGACAGGATTTTGTGTTTTTCCACAAAATATGCTCTTTTAAAAAAAAAATACCAAAGATATTGCGTTACCATGGACATTTTATGAAACTTAAAATGTTAATGAAATAAAAAAAATAATAAAAGTTTTGAAAAAAGGGGGAAAAAAATTGCAAAGTGCTTTTCCTGAAAACGTACGTTTTTAAATTTTCACTCAAACATTATTATTCATAAAGTAATAAAATTAGTTACCTCCATGCTCTATATAAAAGGGGATTATTGAAAATAATTGTAATTCTTTACTACGTAAAGGAGAAGGATCACAAGGAGTAAAAGAAAATATTAAATACCCCCCGTCACAGCAAACCTGCAGACCTAGCGAATTTCCGTTTTACTTACTTGATTTTCAAATAAATCTAAAATAGCATTGCGTTTAACGATTACCTAGGTTTGCTGCTACAAGGAGGCTAATAAAGTGTGTTTATAGTAAAATATTAATAGCCTAGTATAAAACAAATAAATTTGACAAGTTTGATCAAGATATATCTATTAACAAACAAACAAAATCATTTTACACTATTCTACATAAGAATAACATGGGAATTTTAAATTTACAATTTTAGTATTTTTATCCGTAACTAATAACCATACAAAAACACGTTAATATACTAAATTATTTGTTTTCTTTAAGCTATTTAAAATGCTCTAGAAAAAAATTGGGAAACTTTGTGTTTTGAGGGTCAAAGATTACAAATTTTTACCACATAAAACCCTGTTCCATGGACCGATTATGCCGGTTTTGTTAAAATTGAACCAACAACCATGGATATATTATATTATATATATATACATATATAATATTTTGAGTGGATGGTGCTTTAGGCTTCTGGGGGCACCCAAATGAAAACGTAAATCGGTTTCGGGTCTATGTTTTACCATAAGACCTTCGGTAATAGCTTATTTCCTATATGGGAAGGATAAGTTATCCCCCTTAAGGGGGGGGTTAGGTTATATGGTGGGTAAAAGGGTATGGATTAAGTTTTGCACTATAACATAATAACATAGGTTACCACGCAAAAATTTCAACTTTTAAGGTGGTGTGAATAATCTTTCAATATGTTTTTTATGCAAATCTATTAAGACCAATTTCAAATTGATATGTATTTTTCTTAGGTAGTTATTTAAGTTATTTTTGTACATTTATTAAAAATTAAAACAGTTGTGTTTGTATAAAACCTTACATTACATATTAAAATGACTTAAACTAAAAATTTACTTAAACTAAAGCTATTTTTCTACAATTTCCGTAGTATCTCTCTTTACAATTTCATCATCACAATAATTATTCCCAGACGACTCATTAACAATTTTATTATTCTTGGCAACTTGTCCATCTTTACTGATTTTGTCCAAGTTGGTGTTTAAGCGGGATTCCCCTTTACAAACCTTGCATGTTGCAGAACAGGCAACACCAATCTTAAAGCACGAACAATGTGGTGCAAAAACACCTTTCATACATACTGACGTTTGCAACTTGTATCTTAAGTTCCTCAAACTTATTTTCGATCAATACAAGTACGGTTATCTTTTGTGGTCATGACGACCAGGACAGCACTAAGACATCAGAGCAGCATTGTCGGTACAAGCATTTTTGTCCTGAACAATGGGAACGAGGTTCATGGGAGAAAAATTGAGTTTTCTCATTTACTTTACCCTCAAAACACAAAGTTTTCCAATTTTTCTCTAGAACATTTTAAATAGCTTAAAAACAAATAATTTAGTATATAAAAGTGTTTTTGTATGGTTATTAGTTACGGATAAAAATACTAAAATTGTAAATTTAAAATTCCCATGTTATTCTTATGTAGAATAGTGTAAAATGATTTTGTTTGTTTGTTAATAGATATATCTTGATCAAAACTTGTCAAATTTATTTGTTTTATACTAGGCTATTAATATTTTACTATAAACACACTTTATTAGCCTCCTTGTAGCAGCAAACCTAGGTAATCGTTAAACGCAATGCTATTTTAGATTTATTTGAAAATCAAGTAAGTAAAACGGAAATTCGCTAGGTCTGCAGGTTTGCTGTGACGGGGGGTATTTAATATTTTCTTTTACTCTTTGTGATCCTTTTCCCTTACGTAGTAAAGAATTACAATTATTTTCAATAATCCTCTTTTATATAGAGCATGGAGGTAACTAATTTTGTTACTTTATGAATAATTGTTTAAATATCGTAAAAAGTAATAATATTTTAAATCACCCTGTATGGAGTGGTTTCATACACTTAAAACTAGTCCCTATCGATTTAAAATAACTAAAACCTTCGGAAACCACACCTCACTCGACCTTAAACGTAAAAACAAAATTATTCAGGAACAAGGGCCCTTCGGAACAAAAAGGGCCTCAAAAAGGGCCTTAGGACGCCCAACATTTTGGGGACTCATCGGATCTTCATTTCTCATATTATTAGTAACTCACAGGTGAAATTTCATGAATGTACAAATTTTGTTGTTTATAAAACCCTATTTTACCTGTACTATATAGTCAATGTCGGTCGTCAGTAGTCTCCTCCTCAAATCAAATCAAATAATTTTATTGAGCTAAAATTGACAATATTGCATTAGCTAAGTCATGGTACAAACGTACACTATTAAAATTGTACAGTTTTCCTTATTTTTATTAGACTATACAGTAAGGTATTTATTTACAAACTATGGCTAGACAACAATAATTACAAAGCTCAACTGTGGCTATCTGGCTATGAGCCAGGGTTTACAGCAGTCCCAATTCCTGTGGTCCAATTAAGAATTCTTGGATGCTGTAACAGGAGATATAATATTAACTAACTGTCTTTTTATGCATCTTTTAAATTTTGAGTGGTCTCTGGTCTGATTCCAATTTAAGATAAATGGGAAGGCTATATATAAAAATTCAAAGGCTATAAAAATTCAATACATTTCCTTTCACAGTCAGAGGTGCATAACTCCATTACTTTGAATACAGTCCTGCCTGGTTTGTCCACCCCTAGCGGAAGCCACTCTCACGGTCACGTGTAATCGCTCTCGCTCAACCCACAACCGTTGGCAAAACTCCGCAGTATGTGGAATTCATGGATGGGGACCCTTTCTACCTGATACCCGTTGGCAAAAATCCTACACTCACTTGC